CCAGTCTGAGCCCTAAGGCCCGGGAACCGAAGGACCGGTGATTTAAGTCCCGGTCAAAGGGCAGGGGAAGTCCAAGGCCACTCAGTCAGGCACGGAGAGGAAGTCCTCTCTCCCTCCATGTCTTGCCCTACTCAGGCCCTGGCGTGCTGGGCGACATCCGCCCACGCTGGGACGGCACTCTGCTTGACTCAGCCCACTGGTCCAAGTGCCAATCTCTCTTGGAAACACCTGCACAGACACACCCAGAACTAACGTTTTACCGGACAGCTCGGTGTCCCATCGCCCAGTGGATGCGTAAGATGAACCACCGTGTTGCCTGGCCTGGGGGGCATAGAAGACCCACAGCAAAACTCAGCCGGGTCCACGTGGGCAGGGAGAGCTCTCATCTTGGGCCCTTCGTGTCGGGCATTGTCTAGGTCCCAGTCTGCACACCCGGGTTCTCAAGCACGCCGCCGACTGAAACTCCAAGGACACCGCAGGGAGCGGAGAAGCTCGCAGTTCCTTGGGGACTGTCAGGCGCAGGATGCTTCCTGCAAGGACACGCACTTGTTGCAGGTCAAGGAGGCATTTGCCACTGGTTTCTTCTCCTCTGAACACTAGCTCATTTTATTATGAATTTCAGAGGAATGACTGCAAGTAAAGAACCTTTTTATAATCAGTTCAAGTATGTGGTGAAAACACTACTTACAAATTGCAGAAAGAATTAGGCAACACTTTCAAAACTATAGAACGAAGAAAGTTCAGAGTTCTAAAGCATATATTCCACTCAGCAATGAGAAAAAAATATATAAGCAAGACATTTAAAGTAAGAAAACAAGTGAGAAGTCCTAAAAAAAGAAAACTAAATTCTATACACTTTATAACAATGATAAGAAATAATCGTGATGAGAGAGACATAGAGAGTCTTATTTCTCACAAGAGATGAGAACATTAGAAGCAACAGAAACAATGGCTGGCTATAAAAGGATGAAGAGAGCTGTGAGATGATGTAATACTACTAATATAAAATCTCATTTTAAGTAAGGATTAGATACAGCAAAACTTTTCGAGACCAGGACAGAGTTTCTTCAGTGTTTTTCAAACTTGCCTCAGTCAGCCCCAAGGCATGAGGAGAAACTGAAGTGAGCTGACGGAGGGAGAAAGGACAGAGACAATCTGGGAACATTTCTAAGGTAGGTGAATTTTTTTTTGAAAAGTATTTCACAAATTACCAATTAACCCCGGTGCCTCCTGTTTTAAAATTATCCACACACAATAACAGAAGAGCCGATCCTTGAATGCGCCAGAGAAAGCGGTCCAGATGGTTTTCAGATCCATAAATAATGGGATTGATTAAAAATAGGTCACCCAAATCAATCTAATTGCCTTCTATTTTTAATGTAAATTCTTTCCATTGATTTTTTAAAAAATGGATAGCCCATTAAAACGCATTAATCATGACCCAAAGAGTATAGTTGTATTGCAAAAAGCCTAAGGTGAAGAGCAAAAAGCAATTTCCCACCGCATGAAGCTGAGGTGGGAGCGTCACCCGGCGGAGCGGAGCCCTGCTTCTCCCAGGAAAAAACATTTCTGGGTAAAAGCTGGGAGGCGAGATATCGTTGTGATAAAATGCTGCATGACAGCAGATCTAGGATGTTTGAGCCACGCATGGATTGTTTGGGCAAATGGCCTCCGGCTTTGTGGAGCCAAGGTAAAAACGCATGATCAGTTCTTCTGTGTTTTCATTACATGAGTGATGCACGCTGGTAGTTGCAGAATACGCATTCATTCTAGGAAATGCAGCTGAGGGAAACTAACATAAAAAATAATCCACAATGCCGTCATCCAGTGGTAACACTGGGAGCATTTTGATATATACATACTCATATGTTTTAAATTTTTATTTATTTTTAGAGAGAGGGGAAGGGAAGGAGAAAGAGAGGGAGAGAAACATCAATGTGTGCTTACCTCTCACGCGACCCCTCCTGGGGACCTGGCCTGCAACCCAGGCACATGCCCTGACTGGGAATCGAACTGGTGACCTTTTTGGTTAGCAGGCCCGTGCTCAACCCACTGAGCCACACCAGCCAGGGCTACATATTCATATTTTTAAAACATACAGTGGATACTTTTAAATTGCAAATACATAATACATGTTTGTAACCTCCATTATACTAAGAAAAAAATCACTCACATTTAAGATGACAATATAGTTCTTCAAAATTGCTGTGAATAGGACATAGATAGGTATCATCATTTATTCAACCTTCCGTCTCACATTGGACTTTATAAACATGCTTCACTACAGATCCCACAGCTAACTCCTTGCCAACATCCTGGATTTCTTAGGAGAGATCCCAAAAAGAAGGCTGATTAAATCAAAGGATAAGCATATCTGTGAGCTGTGACTGGCGCCTCCTGGAAAGCCCACCCCTCGGCTCTCTCCCACCCAGCCTTTCCATTGGTCCTGAAATGGCAGAAGAGGGTGAACCCTTTTCTTGGGGGACTGATGCTTATGGTTGATTGTTCATCTCGGAGCGATGCTTCCGCTGCCACATAGCAGTTTCTACGTCGGCTCTGGGACCAGCCAAAAGCTGTGCCTCTCCAACCAGACCGGGGGATGACATATCCACACCTTTCCAACATAAAAGTACAAGCATGGCAACTCTATGCAGAATAAACCCCCATTTATTACATAAAATTGTATAAAATCCAGGCACATTTTATGAGAGTAGACATATAATAATTTCAGGGAGAATTACTTCCTGTGTACACAATTTTAAACAGCACTTCGATGGTTTGAAATTCTGGCCCGGCCAGCAGAGGGTGCTGTGCAGCACAGCCAGAAGTGGAGATTCTGTAGCAGGACTGAGCACCCCCTCACCCCTGCAGGCTACGGAAACCATGACACCCCGAGCAGCCACACCAGCTCCGTCCACTGCCAGGCGAGGAGCTGACTTGTGATCCTTCCCTGTGACGTGGGGGTGGGAGGGGCGAGGGAGGAGTTTGGTAGGGTGTCTGGGTCACATGTTTAGGTTGCTAAGGCATGTGTGAGGGAAGGGAGGCCTTGTGGAGAACGGGGTCAAGCTAGGGGCATGGTGTGGGGCTCCTTCCTTCGCTGGGCCACCACCTTGGACCAGCGGTTGGGGAAGGCCAGCCAGAGAGGACCGGGAGACCACCAAGCGTGAAGGACACAGGCCGACGCACCAGCTTTGGCTGGTTCAGAGAGGATTAGCCACAGCGCCCATGTTTTCCGACCTTTGATGAAAGGCATGAGCTTGAGTTTGAGAATCTCTCTCCAGAATTTGCCCATGAGCCCCTGGGATAGAGGCAGATCCTTGAACAGACCAAGAAGCCCTGGAACCTGGGGGTGGTCTCCTAGGAGTAAGGACCAGGACCTAATACAGGCCAAATTCAGTAAGTGTGATAAATCATGATCACACTTTTTAGAGTCATAGAAGAGACAGTTTTCCAAGCCTTAAAAGAAAAACAAATGTTATCCAAGGCATCACACTCCAAATGTGACAGTTAAATGTTTGAAAACTAACCTGACTGTGCAAACAGGGTGAAGGGAACAGCAGGTTCAACTTCTGAACATTCATTAGGAGGGAGGAAGGGGGAAAAATATTTTAAAACCTCAGCTTATTTGTGAAAATTGGAAAAGCAACAAACTGCATGTCGATTCTGTGGCCACTTGCAGTCGGGCCCTGGTTACAGGCTGGATCCTCCAGGGCGCAGAGCGGGACACAGCTGGCGTGCAGGGTGTCCATTAGGGAGTGCCCTTCCGTCAGGCACCTGTGGAGAGGAGGGAGCGAATCAAGACAGGACACGTTGCCCGCCGTGACTTCCACTGGGAGCTCAGGAGCAGGAGGGTTGCCCCCAAGACTGAAACAGCCCAGCCTTCATACTCCCACCTGGATCCGCTTTTGGACTTGGGCCACCCTGGGGCCCCAGGACCCGATGAGGGGCTCCTGCACCTGAGACGGCACCTGCAGACGGCCCTCCCAGCCGCGGGGTCCCCTCGAAGGCGGATCTGGGCAGCCCATCCCTAAGGCCATCACTGTCCATCCCCTGGGCACTTACACTGCAGGAGCCCCGAAGTTCTTCCCACTGCCTTGTGCTCCCCTCCTTTCTGCTGGATGGTGTGAGAGGATTGGGGAGGAAGCTGGGAGGAGGTGAGCAGCCCCACCTACGGACCTACCTGTGCTCCAGATTATGCCCGTTATTGTCACATGCCCTGGAAATTATAGCAGCACAAGCACATGGATATGATTAAGATATGAAGCTGAATAAAACTTTTCTAAAGTATGCATTGAATTCAACAACCATACCCAAAGGCAGACAATTCTTTTCCATACTTTATAGAGAAAATACTGCAAAATTATTACCAACCCAGAGGCCAATACATATATAAAAATATATATATGTACGAGAAAGTTATGCCAGAAGGTTAAAAAATATTATCTTTTCTTGGGTTTTGTGACGTTTATGGTACTTCTCTCTAAATACATGTTCACCTGCCTGGCTCCTTTTGTGTTCGTAATTTGGGGGACTCTTTCTTGGCCCCGGCTCTCGTGACAGCGCTGGGCCCCGAGGAGGGTGGGTTGGGGACGCCAAGGCCCCAGGGAGAACTACGGGTGAGGGGGCTGCCCTGCGTCCGGCCGTGCACACCGGGTGAAATCGTACGGACTTTCCAGGATTCGCGCGTGGCCATGTTGATTATCGGGCACCGGAGAAGCCCGAGGGCTAACCGTGCAGTTACCGTGCGCACGCGCGTCGGCGCACCCCCTCCCCAGACAGCGGAGCGGGGCGGATGCAGAAACTCCGGCCCGCATTGGCCGGAGAAAAGCTCAATACGGCGTTTGAAAGGCCCAATCAGCACCCACCCTCTCCACGCCAGCCAATGGAAAACCCGAGGGGTGGGCAGGAAGGGCGGAGTCACTATTTGAACCGGGACGCGGTTCTAAGACTCCCAGTCCTACTTTTTCCTGCGGGAGTCGAGGTTTGGAGCTCCGCGCGCCATGGAAGACGAGGTCACGGGGGATGACGTGCTGCTGCAGAAGCTCAGGGACAGCCGCCGCCGCTTCCAAAGGCACATGCAGCAGCTGCTCGAGAAGGTGCGGTCCCCTACCGGCCCGCTGGCAGGGGCGCGAGGCCGGCGAAGCAGGGGAAGACAGGGTGGGGGGCCTGGGTAAGGAGGGAAGCGGCGGGACGTGGAGGTGGAGTTTGGGTCCGGGGGTAAGGAGAGAGGAGGCGGGGTTCAGGGGCCGCGGGCAAGCCCGGGGGGCTTGGAGGTCCGGGGGCAGGGTAAGTAAGGACTTGTAGCGGGGAATCGCTCCGCAGCCCGGGTCAGGGGCTTTGCGCCCTCTGACGCGACTTGACGTCCCTTTCTCCCCTGCAGTACAACCAACCCTTCGAGGATGCCCCGGTAGTGCAAATGTCCACGCTGACCTACGAGACGCCCCAAGGTATGGAATCATCCTCCCCTCCCCTTCTGAATATTTCCAGTTAACTGGTTAATGGTTAGTGTTGCAAACTGACTTAAACTTCATGGATTCAGTCTGGTAAAGAGCTAAAGAGAGTTTGCCCTGGGTGATGTCAGTTTCTCCCATTCAGCCTTAAGACCTACGTGTTATTACTAATGAAAACCAAGCTCAGACCCAGTTCTGCCGTGGGTTGGATAAGACAGGCACAAAAAGGTTCATGAGACCTGACCTTTAGATGGAGTCCTAGCTCTTTGGCTTCTTAGCTGACCCTTGATACCTCAGGTGAAAAGTTTACACAGATAGAAGCCAAGGTATGCCAGCTGCAGGTTTCTTGTACTCTCTGGTCTGCAGCAGGTGGTGCCAACTCTCACCCTAGGGCAGGACGCAGGGCCCTGTAGCCATCGTTCCTGTCGGCTTCACCACGAATGGGCAGTGTCTGGAATACTTTGCCAGTTTGTGTGTCTCGGATACCACTTAATTTCACCAGTGAAAACTCTTGCCTGCCGTTGTGATGCGAACAGTAGTTGAAGCAAGCAAACAGCTGCTGGCAGTCACGCTGCAGCATGTAGAAGACCACCCGGAGGGCTCGATAAGGCACAGGTTCCTGGGGCTCCTGACCGCAGATGCTGGGTGCGGGGCCAGTGGGTCTGCAGCCTAACAAGGTGCTAGCTGATGGTTTAGCACAGGTCCCCTGATCTGCTGCTTAGCCTGAAGAGACACTCGTTTAGGGAGTGAGCTGTCTGATTAAATGCTAGCTGACCACCCTTGCAGCATGGATTCCCGATTTAAGGCAAGGCCATAGGGAGTGTTCTGGAACTAACCCCCTCCGGCACTGAAACGATGAGGACAGCAGGAAGGTACTAGCAGTTCGCATGTGTTGACCACTGAGTGCACGCTTCTCGAAGTCTCGTGTGTCTGATTCGCAGCCATCCTGCAAGGTGGGCACTGCTTGCACAATCATCCCTGCTTCCTGGCCGGGGGAAAGCAGAGAGAGAGAGGTTAATGAACTTGCCCCGTGTCACTTAGTCAAGGTGGGAAAGCCTGGGTTTGGCTCCAGGTGCACTTGCTCAGGCCTTGCCTGTTCTGGGGAGGCTGCGCGGCACCGTGATCAGCAGTGCAGTCCCTGTGCGGGGCTCGCAACCGGGCCCTACCTCGCGGGCCGCTGGCCTGGGCTGCTTCCCTGACCCCGCTCAGTCCCCATCTGTACCATGAACTCGGTGGGTGCCTGCCCTGCAGAGAGCAGGAGTCCTATTCGAGTTAATATGTAAGTGAGTGTGTGTGAACACTCACCGAGGCGCGCTTGGAAAGGGTTTAGACTAAAACCTGGAGCGTTATCGCTGTGGATGTTTTCGCTGCTGTTGCCTCCAATGACCGTTTCAAGCCTTGAAACCCCATAATCCCTCCTGATCGACTTGAATTGACCTGGGAGCAAATGAAGGTTTCGGAAGAGAAGACGTGTCTTGCTCGGTTCTATAAACTAGTAAGTGGCAGGACTCCAAAACTCACGTTTACCCTTGTGCTCAGCGCTTGCTCTGTATGGGTGATGTACGGGCTGTCCCTGGAAACGCGTCCCCTGTACCGGGGGCAGGGAGAGCGCCTCGAGGGTGCTCACCCTGACCCTCCTCGCAGTGTGTGGGTCGCCCTCTGTGTCTGTCCTGAGGAGGACAGTGCTTGGTGTTCACATGTTCCTTGTTTCCACTTAACTCTGTGGCCTAATGATGAAATTTGACCAGCTGCTGCCCCCTAGGTAGAGATATTCATTAACGACGGACTTTTGTCTAATCTTGATTTTAAAAAAGAAAAAACCTTCCGCCTCACCAAGATGAAAAACAACAGAAGATCAGAAACATGGCCTGGTTTTAATATAATTTCCTTTTGCTTGTCACTTGGGTTTTCTTTGCGGATGAAACAGGAACTTGGTGTTCAGGATGACTTAAGCGGTCGTTTTTATTTTGTTTCTTTTCTTAAGGATCGAGAGTCTGGGGTGGAGGACTAGTAAAGAACAAGAACAAAGGCCAAATCCAGGTATTTAATGTCATGTGTTACTGCGAACAGGCCTCGCAGTGGAGGGATAACAATGCGAACGAAGGTGCGGCAGAGCCGTGACCGCACCGGCAGCCTCTGGAGGCCACCACGGGCCCTTCTTCCACAGCGTTCTCACCTTAACTGCCCTATTGTCTGTTTTTAAGGATTTACTGAAAAGCATTTCTTCCACTGCTTGTTAAGTGCAAGGAAGAGCTGTGTGATGCTTAAGCCCTTGCTGTCCCCCCGAGTCCCCTCCACCCTAGACAGCTGGACCCCATGCGCATAGCTGGGCCGGCTGGGCAGGCCTCTCCCCGTCCCACGCTTCAGCCACAGCTTCAGCCTCTCCTCACTGGGTTCTTACAGGAACAACCAAGTCCAGGTCCTTCTAGGGAAGGAAAATGCCTCCTTCCCTCTCTGAAAGGGGAAGGGGAGGTTAGGGAGGGGGTGCCGTGCGCAGGCGCACGGTTCTTTCCTTCTGCGCTGCACTACCTCCCAAAGCCCAGTGGCGGGTTTGTTTCACCCGAGTTTGCCCATGGACGCTGCAGCTCTGCAGTCTATTATGCCCACGGGAGGTGCTGGTACCGCTGCCCTCCGGCTGCGCCATCCTACGCGATAGTAACCTTCGCCGGAGTCTGGCACCTCTGCTTCCCCGCCGAGGAGACTGCGCCAAATGAAAACCTTGGGGTTAGGGTTCCAAAGCAATTAACAGCAATCCAGGAGTCAAATTTCTTCCTGATTAATTACTTTAATAACACTCATAATACATTTAGTCGTAGAAATGTGACAAATACATAACTGCATACTTAAAATTAACCTGACTTCTCTAGACAGTCACTAATGATACTTTAGTATAATGTGATTCCTCTTTATAATACACGAGTTCATAAGTACGCATATTTTTGCCCTCCTTTATTCCACTTAATATATATTGTGAATGTTCCCCTTCCTTTAAAGCTGCTCTCTTGTTGATAGACATTTGGCTGTTCGCACCTTCCTTTATTGCCAGTCAGGATCAGCACCCTTTCCCTGTGAGGGGCCGCATGGTAAATAGTTGAGGCTTTGCTGGCCACTTGGTCTCTTCCACAGCTACTCGGCTCTGTGTCCCAAGGGGGAAGGAGCCATAGACAGCACGTGCACTATCAGGCATGGCTGTGTTCCGATAAAATTTCATTTATAAATCCTCTTTGGAGGATAATCCTGGTCTCTTCTCAGTACTGATATCGCCCCTTTTCAGTTGTAGGGTTATTAAGTCGAAGGACACGCACTCTTTGTACCCAAGAGTGACGCCCACCAGTCAGGTAGTCCTGTGGCAAAATGTTGTCATCTGGATAGTTAAGGTTTTTGCTCCAAGTGTAGACCCCTCCTCTGGGGTCTACAGAATTTTAAAGGCCTTTCCTGGAATTAGAAAACTGGGCACAGTAGGTGAGGACAGGTCAGGTGTCTACAACCCGAAATGGGTGATTATGTCCAAATCTGCCTTTTTCTTTCCCAGACACCCAAACATTCAACCCCCGCCCCTGCCCCTCCCCAGGACTGCTGCTCGGAGGCTGGGGGCTTGTTCGGCAAGCCAGCTTGGCCCGCACCGAGCCCCAGCTCCTCTGGAGCCCCCGGAGCCCCGGCAGTCAGGGTTTGGCGAGAGTGGGCGGCCGCCCCGTAATTTTAGACCAAGTTCTGCCGCAGCCCCAGACACAGCAGCGACACGCAGCCCCCCAAACGCCCCAGGGAGGACCCAGTCACCCTGTGCTCCCGCAGCCACAGCTCCCCAGCCCTTTGAGACGCGCCCCTAAAGGGCGAGGCCCCAGCGTGCCCTCCCTGCTGTTCTTGCGGGGCTGGGGTCCTCGGATTCCTTAGCCAGCCTGGTACTTTGAACTTCACTAATAAGAGTTCATTGATGGCATTTGTGACTCAGTCCCTGACCACGCCTGGGTCACAAGTCCTGGTCACAACATCCGACCCTCCCTCCGATGGTAACTTAGATTGAACCTGGTTCTGCTTGCGGAGGCTGTAGGCCCCTCCAACATCAAGATAAGCTCGTTGTTAAGGTCACACGCAGTCCCCCAGGAGCCTCTTGAACTTCTGGGTTCTGCCTGACAGTCTAGACACAGTTTTGTCCTGTTTCATTTGCCATCACACATGGGCAGGGTCGGGCCCTTCCGCTCGGGCCTTGGCCTCTCGCTTTGCCTGCTCCGTCTCTCAAAGTCCATGTGGATTTTGAAGTAGCAGCCCTGGGTGCAGCCAAGGGAAGCAGGCTCGTTACCATGGGGAACCTTGGCCACCTACTACAAGTTTGGGGGCCTTTTCTCCCAGAGAAGCCTTGTGAGGCTCCCTGTTCTCCCACAGGAGGCTTGTTCCTTTTCAGGGGCTTTGAAATGTCTTATGACTGAAACGAGTGTGTCTTTTTCACCTTCCACATGTCAAGGGCTCCCCCGCGGAGACGGTCAGCAGGAAGGATGGCCTCACACAGGAGGACGGGCTGCCCGCGCCCTGCGCGCAGGACCTGGGACTGGGTGAGTGTGTCCTGGGCCAGAAATCGAGGTCACGAGGGACTGGGCCTGCCATGTCTCTGGGACAACATTTAAAGTCTAGATTCCTCCGATTACTGTTTTAAAAAACAGAACATCTTCAAGTGTCCCGCTACTTCCTCCTACACTCCCCGTAGGGGCTGTGGTGCACTGTGATACTTGACGCATGAGCCGTACTCAAATATTCTAGAATAATAAACACACACCCCTGGACCCCTCCCAATTTTTTAACATTTTGCAAAAAAAAAAAAAACCACAATCTCAAGAATTTAATAAGACCTAAGATTTGCCCTTATGAGGTGGTGGCACGAACGCCCCGCTTCCACCGCAGTCTTCCTGCCTCCGCCGTCTTCCCTTCTCTTTCATGTTTCCACGGAGGCCTCCCGGTTTTGAAGCTTCTGGAAGGCCTGGCCTTGGCCTCGGTGACGCCGTGCCCTCCCTCTCCTTCCTTCTCAGCCCTCCCGTCTCCACAGGGTGCCCTCTCCAGAGTCGGTCCGGGCCCCTCACTGGTGCCCAGCCCCGGCCCAGGCCCTGTCTGGCTGTGCTTCCTGCCTTGTGGTCTCTCCTGAATACTCTGAGCTCCGCACATCGCACAAGAAGTCGGCCCACAGGCTTGCCCTCAGTACAAGGGCTGCACCGCCTGCCCCGGAACAGGCAGAAGCCTGGCGTCCCTCTGGCTCGGCCCCTCCCCACTCCTCACGCCCAGGACGTCGCTGCCCTGCGCCTGTTGCCGCCCACCATCTCCCGCCTGAGCCCCGCGGGACGCCTGCAATAGGAGCCCCGGGCTCCCTCGCCCCACGGGCGCCTTTGATCGTGCGAATCTGGCCACGTTGCTTCCCTGCTCAAAAGCAGAGTCCAAAGCACGCCTGACCCGAATTCCTGGACTTCGCCAGTGAGAGTCCATTGGCGGCGTTCATGGCGATTCTCAGCGGGGCCAGTGGTGGAGATCAGATCAGAGCCCGCCTCTGCCTGAGCGCTTCACCCCTCGCTCCTTCGCTTGGGGTGTAAAGTAACTCTGCAATGGCAGGCCTGTGGCTGGTCTGACCACCCATCTGCTGGCCTGCGTGCACACTGCCCAGCCCTCCCGGCCCCTCGCCGCCCCGGGCGGTCAGGAACACGGTGAAATCCTCGGGGACACTGGCAGAAAGGCCTCGCGGAAGATGTGTACTCGTGGATGTTATTCCTTTACCAATATTCATCCAAATGTTCAACACCATAGATCCTTAAGTCTGTGAATTTCCTGGACCACCCGAAATAACTAGAAATAGCTTTTCTAGAGCTGCACAGCCTCATGTGGTAGTGCTAGCTACCTGTGACTATTGGAGTTAATTGAAAATTAAATAAAACTTAAAATGCGACTCCCCGGCTTCACTAGCCACGGTCCAAGTGTTCAACAGCCACATGCGGCGCAGGGCTGACACATCTGCCAGTAGACGGGGAACTTTCCCTCAACGCAGGGAGTTCATTGGACGCTGCGGGACTCTGACTCAGCCTCTAGGACATCAGCTCGAACTGATGTGAAGGCTGCTATTCCGGTCTCCACCGCTAGAGGCTGTTCCCGCACTGGCGGGGTCTCCGCATCCCCATCACGAGTGTCGGGCCACTGACAGATGGCTGTCACTTGAAGCAACTGGGACTCTTCCCACAGGACACCCGCAAGTGATGCAGAAACCATCCTGGAGAGAAAAGCGCACGCTTTCTCAAAAATCCTGATAGAAATTTCCTTTTTTGCTTTTAGACTCAAGAAGCAGTGATGCTGATGCGACTTCGCACCAAGAGGACCTGGCTGCCCGCGTCTTACCGGTAAGACCCGCCTTCCGCCTGAGGGCGCGGAGCTGGGGCTGGGGGAACAGGCACATGCGCTGTTACCTGGGCCTTCCCCGCACCTTCTAGTTCGGAGGCTCGCTCTTTAGAAATCCGCGCCTCAAGCCTTTGGTCCCCCCCGTCAGGTCCCCTACGCAGCAGGCCTCTCTGCTTCTCCACCTGGCACTTGGCAGCCCTCACTAGCCAAGGTCCGGCCTGATTTACTGACCTTACGCAGGTGCTGGGTGAGGTCCCCTCTGCACAGGGGAAAATCGCAGCTGGGGCTCATACCGCGCCACTCCCCCGAACAAGCCCCGGCGCTAAAAGCTGAGCTCCAAGTCATTCTTGCTCCACAGGGGCCGCGTCCTAGGGAGGCGTTCCGGGGAACCTCTTAGGTGGACCCTGGAAAGCCCATGAGTCATAAGGTCATATGATGCGGGCAGGCCGTTGCTCTGTGTCTGTCTCCCAGCGCGCCCAGGTGGCCCTGGGAACCATCTGTCTCCGTACAGGACCTGCTGCTCACCTTTCCTCCCCTCTGGGATAGACAGGAACACACACGGAACATGGAGTGTCTTACCTGGCTCGTGTCAGGTGCTGGAATAGCTAGCATGTGGCTTTTTCCTGAAATCGCTCTTTTTTTGTGCGTAGGTTTGCTCATATAGCATGTGTGACTTTGGGCACCTAACTATTAGATAAGGTGGTGACCTTGGGGGAGAGAAGGGGGTACCTGGTGAATATTGTGTAGGGGCGGTGGCAGTGACGGGGACGTAGGCGGCCCCACAGTAGGGGCACACGGGACAGCGCGGGTCTGTGTTACCCCCGTCTGCGTCCCCGGGCCCGGCTGCACCTGCTCAGCTGCAGAGTGGGAGGTGAGGTGACAGAGAGGCGACAGGTCCTGCCTCCCGAGTTGGACACTGAACTTCTTTCTTATAAAACATTCCGACTGGGGTTGGATTTAGTGGTGGAGTCCTGGACACACCTGAGGATACGCGGATGGTTTGACTTTTTCTCTGCTCTAGTAACACTGTCATAAACCTCTACATACTTGTACTTTTTGTCTTTCTACTCTCTCTTGGCTTGTTATCAGTTCCCTAAGGTCAGACCCCTCAGTCAGGTGGGCTTTCAGAGGGGCTGGACCGCTCTGTCCTGGCAACAGCGGGAAGTGAAAAGGGGACTTTCAGGAAGGTCATTTAAAGATTTGCACACTAACGAGCTTGCCAGTTTGCTCCAGAATTCAAGAGCTCACCCAGCCCAAAAGCTCTTAAGAATGCTCACTTCTCTTGTATCAGCCTGCAGTGCCTTGGAGCCCTTTGAAGGACGAGCTAAGAAGGAAGTACTTGAACCAGGTGGACACACTGCTGCAAGAGGCAGAGGTAATCCGTTCTCCAGCGTGTGTCTCCGGGTAACTGACCGCAGACTAGAGACGTGCTGCGGTGCAGTGTGGCCTTGCTTTTGTCCTCTCCCTGTGGGGTCTGTAAAGAGCACTCTGAGCGATTGTTTCCAAGCCCTTTCACATACAAGCTTGCAGGCTTCCGCTCCTCTTGAGTGAACGCTCCGGCGCCCCTGGGGCCGCATGGTCAGGGAAGCCGTGGCTGCGGCCTCTGTTGCCCACTGTGTTCTGGGGTGGCTCAGAATCCAGGGGGGCCCACCCTTGAGTGGAGAGGTTCTAAGCCCTGCAAGAGGTGGCCCCTCTCCCCAGGGTCCATGCCCCCAAGTTCCGCTGCAGCCTGCATCCCGGAGCTTTGCTTGAGGAAGAGCAAGAATGCTAAAGGGGCCAGCTCCGTAAAGGTGCCAGTTCCATAAGGGGGCAGGCTCCGTAAGGGGCTGGCTCTGTGGTTTTCCAAGTCCCATCACTGTCTTCTCATAAAACAAAGGGCATTTTAATACCAAATAACTAGGAAGTACATGGGTACAATAAATAATTCATCTCAAAGGCAGCCAACTGAACAGGAACACGTGTGTGTTCATGTGCTCTGTCTGAGGACCACTGGATCAGTGGGTGCACCGGAAGTGCCTTTTGCCTATATCCTAAAGCAGCAGGCAGTGGCCCTCCCGTGGGTATCCTGGAGGCCGCCTCGCCCAAGTCCCTGATTTCCCTAAGACACCTCTTCCCGCCACTGCTGTGAGCCCAACCGGCCGCCGTCCACTATCATCACTGCCGCTGCCAAGCCCAGGAGTTCAGTCCCCTCTTGCATCCTGCGGGGTGGTGTTGGGGAGAACCACCTCGGGGCGTCCCGAGCCAACCGCTGACTTCTTCCTTAAAACCACTTGCTTTGATTTCAGTACTACGATTATGGAGACGGAAATGACACACATGTGACCCTGGTCCCTTCGCTGGCCGCGCCTCCCAGGCCCGCCCATGGTGAGTGTGACAGACAGCGCGAACCGCGCCCCGTGCGCCGCTGGTAGAGCGCGCAGCCCCTACGCTGGGCACACCCCCGTCTGCTGTGCAGGCTCAGTGGCAGAAGCTGTGAGAGCCACCTGCACCTCACAGGCAGATGCGTCTGAGCTCCAAAGTGAGCTGCCTTTCCCCTTCGGGCCCTGGTGTGATTGCTGCTAATTAGCTCTTTGTCCCAACTCGCTATTTTGAAAATGTTTGAATCTCCAGGAAAGTAGGACTCGTTGCAGCAAACCTCCTTCACCTGCCCTTGACAACCAGCTTGTGGTCCCATTTGCTTGATTATCTCTCTCTTTCTCTCTCTCTCTCTCTCTCTCACACACACACACACACACGGTATATATGTATTTGCGCCCACATATACTGTCCCTAAATGCTTCACAAGTACCTCCTATAGCAGATAATTCTGCATAACAGCAGTAAACAGGGCAGGTACCAGAATGTAACTCTGACGCAGTCCAGTTCCACCCACTTTGTCACCTTTGTTCCACCAGCTCATCATCCCTTGGGACCTCACCCTTTGCCTCAGTTGTCTCTGTCACTGTGGCCATCACCTTCCTGTCACCAACTTTTTGAACAGTCCCGGCTGCCAATAGTTTTACAGAATGTCCCTCAATGTGGACTTGTCTGATTGTTTCCTCATGGTGAGGTTCATGCGAAACATGTTTGGCAAACACACCACAGGGGCGATATGTGTCTGCTGGGGACATCTTGTCAGTCTGTCCCATTGTTGGTGACTCTTAAGTCTGGCGGCATAGCTCCAGAAGGACCCACCAGAGGTCTTGCTGTTATGGGCCTTTTTCCCAGAGGCATCGTGGGTGCTCCCTCGAGGTTCCCCGGGCGCCTTTCCCCCACACCTCTCGCCCTGTGTCCTGGCGCCTGGTCACCACCATCGCCTGAGTGGGTGTCAGCGAGTGGGCCTTTCCCGCTCCTTCCATTCCTCCTGCAGGCCTTTGCTGGCATCCCTCGATAAAGAAGAGCTGTCTGTTCCTCCATTTTTTTTTTTTTTAACTTTTCTACAATCAGTAAGAACTCACGAACTTTCTGTTTTAACTCCATGTCAGAATCCACTGCCAGGGCTCAGTTTGATGCTCACGTCGCCCTGGATATAGCCTGGAGCAACCCCTTTCACACTGGCCTCTGTGTCCTCTGACCTGTCCCCATCAGCTTTTGAGCACTTCTCAGCCCTGATTTCATAGTTTTCCTCCCCCCTTAATAACATACGCTCATTTGGTCAGCCATGCGGTGCAAAATAATTTCAGAATTGGGCACCTGTTACTTCTCTGTGTGACAATCTGCTGGAGAAGGTTCGAGATCTCCAAGCAGCAATTTTTGTCCTTAGCCAGCCCCGCTGAGGGAGCACATTCAGGGGACCGTGTGCAGCGTTACTTGGATTTTGTTTTCTCCATCATTTGTTATCAATTTGATATACATTTAGGATCACTTTTTTTCTGTCTGTATTTTAGAGTGATCCCCAGCTTTGTTGGTTTAATTTTATTTTTTTTATGTATAAAACATCGAACATCATGAAGAAGTCAAAGCTGCGTGAAGAGGTGCATTCGAGTCTCTCATTCCTTCTGCCGTCCCTGTAGGCAAACAGCATCGTTGTTTTCTGGACCCTAATTAGTCTGAAAAGGCACCAAGTTCTAAACCACCCCATGGAGAAAGAAGACTCTTGGGGAAGGTTGGTGCTGAGGTGAAATTTAACTTTTATAGCTAGAAAGACATTTTAACAAACGTTCCCAAACATTTGAAGTTTTTCTTTTGTGTTCTGTTGCTCTGAAGAAACCATCACGGTCGTGCCCTGTCCTCAGTCCCACGGCCCCTGGGCACGGCCTGGGTGGGTGGTAACGCGCCTTCCCCTTGTGCTCTTCTCCAGGCCTCTGTGGCGCTGTCTCTGAAGAGTGCCCTCTCGAGCCAGCTGCGTCTTCACACCCGCACTCCACAGACATGGCGGTAGTGCCCAGAAATGACAGTGTCTCCTGGCAAGAGACCAGCAGTCACAGCTTCTCGAGCAGCCAGTCCTTCGTGGCCGACGACATCTGCACCGTGACCATCAGTGACCTGTACGCGGGCATGCTGCACTCCATGAGCCGGCTGCTGAGCGTGAAGCCCTCGTGCATCATCTCCACCAAAACCTTCATCCTCCGGGGCCGGGCCTGTCGGCGGAGGTGTGGGGGCAAGAGCAGGGCAAACAGGACATTCTGCAGGGGTGTCAGGCCTGCGTGGAGGGGCCCCCAGGAAAGGCCTGAGCCCCGTCCCGAGTCGGTGAGAGAGGTCGGAGTCCTGAGAGAGTGCCAGAACGTCCCAGACCTTTCTGGCCAGAAGGCAGTATTAAAATTGGAAAAAGCTTCTTTTGAAGTAAACAAACTCCAAATCTGGAAGGAGCTTAAGGGAATGCCCCGGAAGTTGTCTTCATGGACTTCCGTAGACTCCAGCGCAATGCACCGTCTTGATCGGGAAAATAGATTAATGACATTAAAGTGGTTAATTTCTCCTGTAAAAATAATTTCCAGACCAAGAATGCTGCAGGGCGAGAGAGGGGATCATTACAGGGAGCTCGAAAGCAAATTTGGTAAACTTCACCAGGAATATTGTCTAAGTCCCAGGAAGCCACAGCTGTGCCTGACCTACCCACCCAGCCCCTCTGGGGTCCGCGTGCACAGGGGTGGCTCAGTGAGCCCCGGGGTCCCCCGGGGCTTAGAAACCCACCAGCCAAGTAGATGTTTCAGCAGAGTGAAAGCTAAGAGTCTAAATGAGGCTTTTGCAAACCTGGGCAAACAAGCTCTTGAGGCAGGAAGATGGCTGCCAAAAAGCGGTTCCTCTCTGTCGCTTTCGGAGTCCAACTCCCCGCAGAGCCCAGGCCGCGCTGAGCCAACAGCTGATCTTTTTAAAGGAAATCACCTTGGGATATTTAGGAGGTCGTCATCACTCAGCAAAGCTCTCTCACTCCCCGGGGTACAACCGCTAGGCTCTGCGAGAGACCGTTACGAGGAAATCAAAGAGCAGTTTGACCAGCTCCACCGTAAGTATTGCCGAAAGTCGGCTCAGAGGACGAAGGTGCCCTTCTCTCCTGAAGCATCTCCAGATAAAGCAGGTGTGCAAGTGCAGAATCAAACAGACTTCTTAGGAAAGTCAAATCCGGACTCCAGCTGCCAGAGGCCCCAAAAGTTGCCGGCATCGCCCCAGTGCAGCGTAAGAAGTTCGCTGGGCTCAAGCTCCACTGAGGTTCATCCCTCTGCGTGGTTTGCTGGGGCTGCTGGGTGCGGCCCTGCCCCCCAGGCCAAGAGGCTCCGACTCTCAGACCTCCGGGGGTGTGGAAGGCGGGCCGACTGCCAGGACCCCTCTCGTGTGGTGGGCAGGGCCATCCCGAAGCCCAGGGAAGAAGTCCACAGGGAAAAGAAGGTAAGTTTTGGTCAAATGTGGCTGTTTTACAACATGTGCAAGGTAAGACGCACCAAGGGGGAGCTAACAATACCCTTCATGGAAAAGCTTAACACATTTTCCAGTGGAGCGCGTTGCTTCCACCTCCAGCCCTCCCTGCCAAATCCGCGTGTCCAGCCGCTTCACCTTACCCGCCTTGAAAGTCGCTGTTGTAGGGCGCTGTTGTAGGACGCTGCTGGTCTGGAAGGCAACGCTGCTGTGGACGTCTAGCCCTCCTACTGGGGGCCAGCAGGGGGCGCTGGTGCAGGGTCTCCTGCTCTGCCAGTCATCTCAGTGCCCCGCCTCCTTCCTCCGGTTGCATCTGAGCGACCTGTTAAGCTAGTTTCGTGTGCTGGCACCATTTTATTTTCTCTAGAGACACGTGGGGAGAGGGCAACACAGGTCAATGCGTCATTGAGCATTATCACAGAGGCCAGGTTTTCCGCGTGGACCCTATCGCAGTTCTGCCTGCAGCCGCTCCTCCACCAGCGGACGGGACCGGACTCAGTCTGGTCCGGCGGTTTGGGACTTGATGCGGTGCCTGCAGGTCCGGCCAGTTACAACTTCCTCTTCCCTTCTTACCCCGGCCACCTGGGTGGCCCCTCAGCGGCCGTTCACATGCACCGCCCCCGCCGCCCTAACTATCTCATTTTCTGCTGGTCCTGTGACCCTTCTCAGACACCGTGTGTTTCCTCTCCGAGATGAACCTTCCACCTGAGTTGACACTGTCACCATCCCTTGGCCCCCATGGGCCCGCCCCTGCCCTTGTCCACCCACTAGTGCTGCTCAGCGCTCCCACCCATGTGGCTTCCTCTCCCCAAAAATACTTCAAAAGCCTCGGGAGCTTTGGCTACAAACAGGACTGGGTGCTGTGGATGCGGAAACGACCGCTCCTCCCTGAACAAGCCCAGGGGCCGGCACAGCTCCTTCTGTCCGTCTGGCTCGGATTCGGAGTCTGGGCTTCCTTTCCCTCCTGTTTCCGCTTCCTTCTGGAGCCCCATCTCCTCGGCCTGCGTCCAGCTGGTGCGGCTACAGCCACACCGCACAGCACTGGCTCCTCTGGCCTGAACCGCAAGTGCTGTGTGACCGGTGCCCCATCCGACAAGCGCCCGGGCTCCTCCCGGGCCGCCCGGCAGGTTCCGCCCTGCGAGGGCTCCCGTCCCCTCCCCCCCTCCCTCCCGCTTCCCTCTCCCCTGCCTTCCCAAGTGGAGCTCCAGCAATTTCTCTTGTGCCCCCAGCCCCGATGCTCTGCGTCGCCCCCCCGCCCCCTCTGCAGGGAGCTCTCTGGACACGAGCATACTCTCTAGGTTGGTGGCTCAGGCTCCTTGGCTCACTTCTATCAACTCCCATTTGTTTTATTTTTGAAATTTATTTCTGTGTATAAAATTGTCGGTGAGCAAACCAGAAACAGACTCAACAGACCTGCACTGTGACTTTTCTTCTCAGCACAGGGGTGAGTGGAGTGCTCATATTATGTGGAGAGTTTCCCCTGCGGGACACCCCCCCCCCCCCCCCCCCGGGCTAGGGACCTTCAGGGAGACCCAGGCGGGAGCCAGAGCACAGGCAGGAAGAGTCAGCCAGCGGGCACTAGGCCAGGGGGCGGCCAGGCCCCCGGAGGCACGGCTGGGGCAGGTCCTTGGCCGGACGGAGTCACTTTTCCCTCCCTGTCCGCGTCTTCCCTTGTGTCAGGGCCTCAGGCGGTTTGGCCACCCCACCCCGTCCCCCCAGGCCCACTCGACTTGCAGACCAGGCCACCAGCAGGGTGACTGCATCCCGTGCCCACGTCCAGCCGCGCGCCCACGGCCAACACTGCGGGAGCACGAGGACTGCCACCCTGCTGTCTCTCCCAGGTCGCCTCTCGTACCCCTCGGGAGCCCCTTGCTTCTCATCCGAAAGGGTGCGTTTCACCCAAGGTGACACGTCACGCCCCCCTCGTCCTGCTGTCCCCACGCAGCTCCCTACATCCCCCCGGCCCCGGCCCCGCCAATCTGCTCCCTTTCCTGCGCCTCTCCCTCCATGTCCCCCAATCTGCTCACGCCTCTCCCCTCTCAGGCCGTCTGCTGGCTCAGCCCCGGAGCGTGTGGGTCACTGCCCTCCTCTGCCTCCGCTCCACCCCCTGGACGCCCGGCGCAGTGTCCCTCAGCCGCTCCCAGGCCCAGGCTGGGGCCACGGGCCTCACCGCACACGGGCCGGGCCGGGGCCTGGGCGTGTCGGACCCTGGGTGGCCCCCAGGGCCCTCCGGAGTCTGGGGTATGACAAGCTCCACCCCTGGAGGCCTTCGCAGTTCCATCTTAAACCACAATATAAACATACTTAATCATTTCCTTCTTACTTTTTTCTTCTGTTTCTAAATAGCCCATCCCTTGAGGAAAGGGACCGAATCTTCATGAGCTGTGGCTGCAGGGGAATGGGATTGTAGCGGCTGGCACCGAGTGCTCTCAGTTCACCAGGCCGCGGTGAACCCTCCTTACCCCTTCCTTCCTTGGCCCCCGACGAACACTTTGATTCGATGGGTTCTGCCCCTTCTTGTGGCAAATAAGGATGTTCGGCTTAAGTCTTACAACTGCTGGCTTAGCGGTTACTGTCAGTTTTTGCCGTCATCGTTGTCTTCAGGGGTTTTTGGGTTTTGGTGTTTTGTTTTGTTTTGTTTTTTTGATTTTTAGGGTATTTTAAAGCATGGTGCCATTTTCTATAGAGGAGGACACACTATTATTTATGTGTGTAGACACTGGAATGAATCTAAAACAGTTAAACTCTTGGTGGCTGCCACCGGGAACGCTGGTGGAATTTCACTGAAATCATTTTGTCTTTGTTTTCTAGAGGAAAGAAGAGCACATCTTTCAGGACAGAAGATAAGTGATTTCATGTGAGAAAATTCAAAGCTAAAAATCTATAGTCCAGTTATTTTAAGAGCATTGTCCCTCTTCCCTCATATTCTCTTTGTGTGTACGTTTGATTCTCAAGAATATGCTAGAACGTGCTTGTTATCTGCCCTTCAAAGCAAATTTCAATGAAATTGGTTTCATGAAGATAAACCTGAGTTCTTGGTATAGAAATTATTGGAATAAAGTTGCTCAATTAAAAGTATTACTGTTACACTTTATAGGGCTGTTTGGCTCATGACTTCTCTGCTAAGTGTAGACATGCATGGGTTTCCCATTTCCCTAGAGAAATGGCTTCCTACGGAACCTGCGTGTAAGCCCTGGGAACGCCGACCCTTGACAGAGAAGTATGGCTGCCAGGTCTTTTCAATTCAGACCCGTGGGACGTGGCACCTTCCAGGTCAGGAGGGCGCAAACTGAAACATAAGTCACCTCTAAGAGGCAATTTTCTGTGCTTTTAGAGGAAAGCATACTGTGTTTAAACAGGGCTGCGACGGTCCCCAAGTGCCCTTGCAGCCACACGGCACCCACGGCACCTCACGACTCCTACAGCCGCCGTCCCTAACGGAGCGTCTTCTGTAATAACATACTCTCTGGTGGGCACAGCACAGCCACCAAGCCCATGCGGAGTAATCGTTTTATTGCCATGTGTTACGGATTTTCTATTTTGAATAAAAGATTACAGATAAGGTGATGTGTCTCCCCTTCCCATCCCTCCCCCCGGCTGTCACTGTCCTGAGAATCCTGTACTTTTTCCACCCACATCTTTGCGCTGCGGCCACATAACCCGTACGTATGAGCTCAGGCTGCAGAACAAACTGCTACAGACCGGGTGCTTCCAACAACAGGGATTTATTTCCCACAGTCCTGGAGGCTGGAAATCCGAGACCCGGGCGCCCGCGTGGTCAGGCTCTGGCGAGGACTCTGCCCGACTTGCAGCCGGGGCCTCCCCTCTGCCCTCACAAGGCAGCCGCCGTCCGGTGGCTCTTAGAAGGGCACTAGTCCCACCTTAAAGGCCCCTTCTCAGCCACCCTCACACTGAGGGTAGAGCTTTCATGTGTGAACTGGGGCGGTGGGAGGAGGTATGGCCGGTCCTGAGCCTGTGTGTGAGTCAGTAAGGAAGGCCGGCAGGGAGGGGGCTGCCGGCTCAGGCTGGGCCAAGGTTGCAACTCCAGACCTTCTCTATCAGGAAAACTATCGCTCCTGCCTAAAACTGCTCGTGCCTTGCCTCGCCCCTGACCCATGACCCCGCAGGCCTGTGCTGAGGCCTCCGGGCAGAGCTCGCAGCCAGAGAGCCTGGAAATTCCAGATTCAGTGTCCTATTAGCCAGCAGAGGGAGGCGAGGCAGAAGGGACTTGCTGGGTTTGCGTCTCAGCCACCAACGGGCCCCATAAACTACGGAGTGGCACCCTCGAGCGTGTGTCACGTTTGGCTGACAGCCACCTTTCCCTGTAAGAGTCAGGCCCCTGGGGGTAGAGGCTGCCCGATAGCCAGCTCCTGTCCGCAGGGCACAGCCAGAGGCAGCGGACTCGGAGCTTCGGGCTGGGAGGGGCTGTCTGCCCTGGGCACCCCCTCAAGGAAGCCAGGACGGTGCTGGTGGGACTGTTGTCTCCCTTTGCTCCCCCGTCCTGGCCCTGGGGTGCTGTCACCTTACAGCCAGGAACCTGCACTCCACATGGCAATGGAGGTTTATTTCTGTGGAAGGGGAGGGACGCTGGTTATCTCAGAACAAAGCTTTCCTTACAAACTACCATGAGCTCACTGTGGCCCACTCTGCTGTCGGCGGGGTGGGCAGTGTGCATTTCATATCCGGGCCGCCTAGGAAACGCCTTCGGGGGGCGCCGGGAGCCAGTGCTGACTGCAGGTGTCCAAGATTTTGAGGGTGTCCAGCGCTGCCCTCTGGACCCCAGGATCCGAGTCCAGCTGTAGCTCCTGGAGAGCTGAGCGTGAGAGAGACGGGAGGGTCAGCACTGGCGAGCCCCACACGCCTGCCCACCGGGGTCCGGGCAAGGGGCTGCGAGGGGCTGCCGCGGCTGCAGGTGTGGGGCCCGCTGGGTTTGAGGCCAGGAGGCAGCCTGTGGAGCTGGGTCTTCACACACACACCCCTCCCATCGCTCGGGGCTTCCCTTAAGTAACGGGGATAGAGGGATCCCCCAGAACCTGGTTGCCGCCTGGATCAGCTGAAGGAACCATGGCGGAGGCATTTTATAAATGTCTGCGAAGGACAAGGGGACACAGGCCAGGGAACAAAGGACCCCCCCCCCAAGGCTGTCATCCTTGGAAAGCCCTCTGCGGGCCCCCCCATCTCTCTGTGCCCTCGTTACAATCCCCAACCCAACTCAGTGTTCCACTGAGCCCCCCGGGGTACAGCCGAGTCCCCACGGCTTACAAGTCCGCAGCGCCGCAAAGTCCAGCTTCTTCAGGTACGGTTCGGACATCTGCTTCATGATAATCCCTAAATGACAGAGAAACGCTCACCACCCAGAGCGCGGACCAGCCAGAGGCCCGGTTCTACCTGATGAGGTGTCCGCTGCGGGAGCAGAGTGGAGAATCGGGCGGGGCCGTGGCACAGTGGGACAGGAGGCACAGAGGGGACCTCCACCCGCGTTCTGGCCCCGACGCCTGTCCCCGGCCCTTCCAGGCCCACGTCTGACCCGATGGCCTTCGAGGTCTCTCCTGCATCAGGAGATGCCTGCCCCTCACCTGCCAAGCTGCAGGAAGCCATCCTAATCCTCGACAAGTTACTTTTAATGTAGGTCATTGTTTCTAGCAAGAAACCGTAGAGAACAGCAGGCTTTTTCTGAGTCTGCAAACAAGTGACACAGGGACGCAGAGGTCGAGGTCCTGGAGCCGGGCTTCTCGCAAAGTGTATTCCCACCCATCTGACGCCGACGCAGAGGGTCTGGCCCGCTCCTGCGTCACACCCAAATCAGCAGCCCGGCAACCTTCAGCCCCCGCCATGCCCCGGTCTCACCCAGAGAGGAGGTTGGATTCGTCTAAACCTGTGCTGTCTGACACAGCAGCCAAAGGCCACGTGCGGTCCTTAAGCACCAGGAATGTGGCCAGCCGGGATGAACGGCTTTTAGAGTGACTACATGTTCAAATGATAACGATTTGGATCTTTCAGGTTCAGTAAAATCTATGGTTAAATTTGGTTTCACCTCTTTTCACTTTTCTTAATGGGCATTAGAACACTTAAAAACGGGTATGTGGCTGGCGTTCGTTTCTGTCGGACGGTGCTGGCCTCCACACATTACGTCCAGGGGGTGATCGAGGGGTCACGAGACAGGCCTCCATGGTCACCGAGACCCTAAGCCCCAGGCCACCGGGCCACCGCCTCCAACAGGCCGGTCGCCCTCAGCGTCCTCACCAGGACGGAGCACAGGGTCATCTGGAGAGCAGCCGTCTCGTCGGCCCCGCCGGGGTCCCTTCGCCCCAAGGAGTCTTCCAGAGCCTTGCAGCCCCAGAAGTGTGCACACTGACACAGGGTCGCCATACAGGCCTGGAGGGACACAGAGCAGGAGAGCAGGAGCCGCGTCAGGCCGCGGTGGGGGGCGGGAGGTGCACCCGAGGTGCGGGCCCTGCGGGGCCGTGCCCCATCGACGAAGCCAGAGGGCCGCCTGGAAGAGCCTCAGGAAGCGGAAGGGCGGGCTGGCGGCGGCCCCGGGAGGGCGCTGGGACCCGAGCCCACCCCTCGGCACCTGTGTGCACGTTCGCAAAAAGTCCCCAGGGAGCAGGTGCGGCCACGTGCCCCTTAGCAGAGCCTTCATACCCTCAGCGGCCCTGCCTGGGACCTGCTCTTCCCAGAGATCGGGTCGGGGGCCTGGCTGGGGCTGGCAGGACCTGGGTGAGCCTTCTCATCCCCCGAGACGCTGCGTGCTGCACCCCTGCGTGCTGCACCAGCCAGGCTGCTGGGCTCTGGCCGCCGGGGCATCAGGTCCCCGGAGGATGCCAGGCGGGGGGGAGACTGGAGGGCAGGGAGAGAGGGCTGGGCACAGCCCCGAGGAGTGGCAGGGGCAGCAGCCTCAGCCGGGGCTAGCCTCTGGCCCTTCCCATGCTGGTCCCCCGACCTGTCGTCTTTGCGACTCCTTCATTAAAGCCTCTTGGTCACCGACCGGTGTGCCTTCCCTGAAGCACCGCCCCCACGGGACAGTTGCTGATAAACGTGAAATAACTGTGGGAGCCCTTGATAAAGGGAGTTGGGAGCCATCTCCAAGAGGTGACACTTCGTGCCCTGGGACACCAGTGTCCCCAAGGCAGAGCCCAGGCAGGGAGGCAGTGTGACTGCAAAGCCCCCCGTCGGGGGTGCTGCGGGAGGGACTCCACCCACCTCCCTGAGGACGCGCCGGGCCCGCTGCCGCCCCACATGCCAACCCTCAGCTCTCACAGCAGCGGCATCGAGGGGACCTGTGTTGTGACCCCAGACCTGGGGACTAAGGCACTAGTTTAAAATGAGCTGCTGAGGACCCCTTGATCACAGCCAGCTCTATCCCCACAACTGCATCTTTGTCCCTTGTTTTTTGCAGAGTGGTCCTAATCTCAGCCACCTGCACACCATCCCCACCACAGGCCATAGAGGAGGACAGAGAGGACAGAAGGCAGAGGCCAGGTCCGCGGGCCGCGCACGGGTGACAGGTCCCCTGGGCGGGCGCCCCCAGCCAGCCGGAGTTAGCCCGAGAGGCAGCAGTTAGACTGGGAGACGCGTCCCTCCCCCTCGCCCTCCCTCCCAAAGCATCAGAGGGGCTGGGACGTGGCGGGGAGGAAAGCCCGGGCGCAGAGCCGGGCACAGCCCCCACCCCGCGCACCCCTCTCTCCGGCATCACACAAGCCTGCCCCGCGGGGAGCAGGTGAGGAGAGGGTTAGGTGAGTTTTAAACACGACTGAACCGTAACACTCAGCAGCAGTGAATCAGGTAGAAGAAAGGGCGATCGGTGGAGGCGCCTGGGGAGGAAGGAAACTCAGCCCCCACAGAGCTGAGACAGCTCCATAGGGCGGCTTGTGGGTCGCCTTGAAGGGTCCCTTTCCCCCGCCTGGCATGTGGCCTCTGCGCTCTCCGGGAGACTGAGTGGGGCGGGATGGGGAAGAAGGATGGACAGGAGCTGGTGGGGGAGCTGGCAGGTGGCTGAGCCAGTGGACCCAGGAAACGTTTTCCTTTCGGGGCGCACGAGCCCCCGACTCTGGGGCGCAGAGCCGAGGGCATGCCTCACCTGGGCCGCGTCCGGGCACGGGTCCTGGCAGTGCAGCATGAGCGGGACCCAGGCTCTCCTCACCTCCTCCTTGAAGAAGCGCCTCTTGGAAAGGCTGACCGCCTTGGCCAGCGCGCCGAAGAGGAGGAAGGCTTTCAGGCGCAGCAGCTCGCTCTCCTGTCGGGGGGCGGGCACGGCAGTTCTGAGGCTGGGGGCGGAGGTCGGGGGGAGGGCGCTGGAAGCCCAGCAAAACCCCAGCCGTGCTCCGCGGACTCTTTCAAACGCCTCCACCCCTGCGAAGCCTCCCGGATCATTCCATCAGGACGCAGGGTCTCCTGCAGGGCTCCTGATGGGCCTAACGCTCACATCTGTGACCTTTGCTTCCCAGAGGACGGCTGTATTGAGTCTGCCCTCGCGCGCTGCCCGGCAGAGTCCCCACCCGGCCGGCCACAGGTGCCCAGAGAGCTGCGCCTGTGGGCTGCAAGGAGTTAGAAGGGAAGCCCATCCTCTGAGCGCCGGGAGACGGGTCCCATGGGCTCTGGAAGAAGGGTTTGGTTTGGTTTTGTTTTGTTTTTAACCAGATCCCACAATGGGCCAACTGATACATCAGCATTGAGTCGGGCCGCCCGCCATGTCTGCTCCAGAGAGGCGTCTGCAGAGCCCCCACCGGGGCCTGGGCCCAGCGAGGTTCTCATCCGACTCACGTGGTCAAAGAAGGACCTGCACTGCTCAGAGACGGCGTCGAAGAAGGACCCCAGGTCCCCTTCGCGGAGCTCGGCCAGGATCTGGGCCAGGGCCTCCAGGCCCGCAGAGGCCACGCCGGTGCCGGCAGGACCCCGCAGGGAGCCCAGGCACGCCTCCAGCAGCAGCTTCCGGTACTGCCTCACCTGGGGGGCGGGGCACAGGGAGCTGTCAGCTCCCGGCGTGGCCCCCTGTGTGGTCAGGACCTCCCAGCACTGGGCCCTCAGCCCTCGGGGCCCTGCATCCTGGGCCTGGGGGTTCGAGGGCGCAGCACCTTCCTGGGGGCACCCAGGGCCATGTTGCCGAGGGCGCGCAGGGACAGCACCCGCAGGGCCTCGTCCCGCTGGGCCACGCCCTGCTGCAGCAGCAGCACGGCCGGCTTCAGCAGCTTCTCCTGGTACAGCATCGGGTGGCTCATGAACTAGAAGGGAGAAGAGGCTGCGGTTACCGCGGGAGAGGCCCTCTTCTCCGCCACGGGCGGGCGTTGCTTCTCTGCAGTGCACAGGGCGGCCTCCCCGCGATCCGGAGCCCCAACTCCCGGGGCCCGCTCCTGCCTCCTCCACCTGCCAGCGGGGGGACCCCGGCAAGTCACTCAACCTCTGCGCCACGGTTTTCTCGTCTGTTAAAGGAGTGTGGAACCAGTACCGGCCTCTCACGGTTGCCGTGAGGACTCGGTAAGGACAGGTGTGGGACACGTCAGGGAAGTGTTCCCCACACTCAGCCGCCACGCGCTTCCTCAGTGATCACGCAGAGCCGTGGCCATGGGCAGCGGCCGCGTCCCCTGTGCCCAAACAGAAACGCACGGGAAGCGAGAGTCGCCCTCAACCACGTCCTCCCGGGGCCAGGACAGCGAGCCCACAGGGACCCCAGCATCATGCATGCACCTGTGTGTGTGCGTGTGCATGGGCCCGCACACGCGTTTTTAAAATAAACCTAAAGGAGACTAAACATCCAATTGGCGACTCTAAACTCGAAAAGTTACTAAGTGGCCCTTTACAGAAAACATCTGGGGACCCACCCCCCGCCAATGCGGATGTCTGGTTCCCGTGGTATATACTGGGCACTGTGCAGCCGTTAGAATTTCTCCTCGAGGTTTCTGGCCAATACCCTGGATCGGCTTCCCAAAACTTCTCTCCCCCACCAGGAGGACAGCAAGGGCCTCTCAGTAGAGGTGATCCCACGTGGCGTCCCAAGTGCACAGAAGCGCAGCTGGACCCCTGTGGCCGTAAGCCCCGCCCCCGGCCTTCCTGCCCGGCTGCGCCCTCCTCCAAGACCCTCCCCAGTGCCTCCAACCCACCAGGAGCCCAAGGTGCCTCCTCGCCACGCCCCCGCCCCCATCTTTAGGGTGCACGGCATGCGTGTGGCTGTCACCCCACCACTCATCACTTAGCTGCCACGCAGCCGCTCTCAGCCCCTCTCCCCACGGCCCCCCCGAATTACTGGTGCCATGAAGGAATGGAGCGAGTGAAGGAATGAAAACAGATGAGGAACACCCCCTGCCCTGCTCTCAGGTGCCCTCGGAGCCGCCTGAGCGCCTGCCCCTGAGACCAGCCCCCCAAGAGGGCTGGGGGCCGCCCACCCCTCCTCCCTGCACCAGACCGGCCAGCCCTGCGCCTCACTTCCACGCAGATCGCCGTGCTGCCAACGCGGCAGCTGAGGACCTCCGAGGCCATGCCTCTGAGCGCCAGCTCCAACAGCCTCTGCCAGCAGCCCTCCCTGTTCCGGATGCACAGCCTGCAGGGGGGACCACAGCCCAGCGGGCGGGGAGGGCGGCTCAGCTCCAACGGGGGCGGGGGGCGGTGGGGGGGAGCAGAGCAGCTCTGCAGCAGGGTGCCAGTGGGCGGGGCTAACACCTCTGGGCGGGGCTGACACCTCTGGGCCTCTCCCTCCCCCCCAGGGGCATCACTGAAGTACTCACTCCCTCTCACCTTTTTATAAAAGAATTCTAATGAGGGCTGCTCACGAGTGATCGGACCAGGACTCCCCGCTCCCAGCCCGGCTCAGAAGCTCTGCGTGGCCTAGGCTGAGCCCCACCGGCCCCTGACCTCACATCGGCTCAGGACCATGAAGGGATGGGAGATTCCCTTTGCCCGCCCTGCTTGCTACCACCTCCCCAAAGGGCGGGGCACGGGTCCACCTGGTGATCCCCAGAAATGAGGCGCTGGGCCATCGCCTAGACCTCTGGCAAGGAGGCGGCTCCGCAAGTCGCGCGGCCACCGGCGTGGGAGCCCGGGCACCCACCTGGCCAGCAGGCCCGCTCCCTGCAGGAAGGTCGAGCCGCTTGCCAGCAGGGCCCACGCTCCCTGCTCTTCCAGGGCGTGCACCGCCTGCTCACTGCCGAGTCTCTCGAACAAGAGCTGCATGGACTTGATTGTGACCCTGGAAGAAGGTGGGACCGTGTCACGGCTTGGTCACCCGCCGGAAGCCTCCGCGGCGCCTCGGAGGGGCAAGCACCGCCCCCGGGTCTGTGAAGATGGTCCCAATGCCTGCTGGGCCTCACTCAAGGGGCTAAGACTCGTCTGCCCTGTCCTGGACACGCGGGAGGGAGGGTTGTCAGTACAATCAGCTCCCAGAAACTCTCCTCCTCACCCCACCAGGAAGGGATGAGGAGGGTCTCTAGGCAGAGGTGGCTTCAAAGAGGCTGCCGAGGCCCCGCCCCGCCCGGGCCCTGGAGAGCACCTCTGCAGGTTGGTCTCCTCGGGCAGGGTCCCCGTGTGGACGAGCCTCCCCATCTTCAGGACGGGGGACACAGCCCCTGGGCCCTGGCTGCTGCCGAGCTGCATCAGGAGGGTGTAGAGGAGGTCCGGGAAGAGGTCCCGGAGCGTGTCATCCTTGTCCACCTTCTCAATGAGAAGCTGGACGGTGCAGAGGGTCTGCAGGGAGAGGGCCAGCAGGCGTCGGGCTTGTACCCAGAGGCCCCGCGGAGCCCCGGGGCTGCCCCCGCAACTCACCATCAGGGGGTCCACGGCAGCCAGGCGCCAGACGTCGGCCGTGGAGGCGGCGGCAGCCCTGGGGGTGAACCGCGACTGCAGCCGGCCCATCAGCCCGCGGAGCATCGGCTGGGCAAAGGGCGCGTTCTCCGCCACAGCCAGCCACACGCCCTTCAGGTGGCTGGCCAAAGACAGGGGTGAGGGCTGTGGGTTACCGGCCCTGTGCCCTGCCAGGTACGAGCCTCTTGGACCCCCAGTGGCGCCCTGGGTCACCGATGGACTCTGGAGGCCAGTCTCAGAGAGCTCGAGGGAGCCGCCATATGTTCGTAACGAGAGCCCAAGTCCCGGGCTCCACACTCAGCTGCATCTCTGTGCCCTGGCTCAGGGGACCCTGGAGAAAGCCGTGGCCCCCTGGGAAGCCCCAGCTCCACGGCTAGGTGACCTCGGAAGTCCCCGCTGGGCCTCCTGTTTGACAACCTATGGGCACACGTGGTTAGAGCCTCCCGTGCCCGACCTCTGCCGGGCGGCCCTAGCCGCGGGCTGGCGCCTTCTCCCTGCCCGCACATCTTTGAGGAAGAGGGAGTGAGGCCTGGGGGGTCAGGTGGCCTGCCAGACTACAGTCTGGGCCAAAGAGACAAGCCCCACAAGATCCAACGGAACAAGGAGACGCGGACACTGCCTGTTAGAATTCACGGATCTGGGTCCGCGGCTCCCCCAAGGCGGGACCTCCCACGGAAGATGCAGGGACGAGGCAGCGGGGCGCGTCGGGCCGGGGTCGGCTGCACAGGGCCCCCACCTCTGCATGGGCAGCGGCTGTCTCAGGAGCGACGTGAGGACCATCTCCTGGTGGTGCTGAGCCAGCAGGAGGACGGCCTCGGTGAGGCGCCGCCGCACCTCCGGGGACTCCACCACGGGCAGGTGGGCGAGGATGGCGCCCAGGATCTCAGCCACCTGGGAGGGGGGTGCTGGGCATCACCAGGGCAGCCGGCCCCCACGGGCCTCTCGCCCTCACCCTGCTCAACACCCCTCCTTCAGGGACTCTCGCCCATCGGGGGCAGTTAAATGCCAACACCCCTCCAGCGAATGCTTTGGTCTTCTCCAGACTGTGGTCAGGTTTTTGGGGTGGGAGGCGGTGCGCTTTGACAGAAAGCCACAGGCCCAAGTCAACCGTCCACTGGCCCGAGTCAACCATCCACTGGCGGACCCGGCTACCTTCAACACCTTTCTTCCTCATTCTAGAACTCTCCTGCCTCCTTCTCTTCACAGCCAGGGGTTTGGGAGGCATTGTCAGTGAGGGCAGCTGGGCCCTGGCCGGTCCCTACAGCCTGGGAGCACTGGGCAGCCCCAGCCACAGGTTCTGCTACCTTGTCCTCCAGCTCCTTGACCCGCATCTGGAGGAAGATGCCTATCCAGGCGACCGAGGCCTGGTCGTGCTGGAGGCCCATGGCCCCGATGTTCTCGCAGAGCTTCTGGATGAGCGAGACCACATCATCACAATTAAACTGCGTGCAAGCCACCTAGGACCAGAACAGATCAACCCTGGTCATGCGGGAAGGAGGGTTGTCAGTATGATCAGCTTCCAGAAACTCTCCTCCTTACCCCACCGGGAAGGGATATTGAGGGTCTCTCGGCAGAAGTGACTTCTAAGAGGCTGCCGAGGGTCCGACAGCCGAGTCCCAGGCCCAGGCCCCTGCCCCCTCTGGTCACCACTGATGGGACCTCATGTCCTGCAGGACAGCACGGCCCCCACCCCCAGGCCTGCCCCTTCCCCTGCCTGCCTCCCTGCCTCCCAGCCTCGCTCTATCCTGTCCTATCCTGGGCCTGCTCAGGACGTCACTTTCTTTCCGGAGCCTCCTAGGGCTCAGCAGGGCTTGCAAAGCCTCCCAGACACACCTCCACCTCCCACTCCCCATCACCTGCCCCGGCCCTGCCCGAACCCCACGCAGGGAGCCTCACCCCAAACCCTCCCGTTCTGTCCTTGCTCCCTGCAGCCTCCCCTCAGGGTGTGTGCCCTGGGCACTAGAGCCCCTCCAACCTGATCTGTCCTGCCACTCCACAAGCGCCCCTGCTCCAGAAAGCCCCATCTGCCCCGTGAGGCAGAAGTGACCGTACCCCTCTGCAGCCCCGAGAGTTTGGGTGGCCCTGGCTGCCTTCTGTCACCAGTCTGCCATCAGCCTGCCCATGTGCCAGGGCCTGTGTGCCGGACCTCACGTCCCCGTCTCCCTGGGGCCCCTCCACCCTCGGTGTAGCACATCGTAAGGCGGAGGAGACACCAGCCATGGACGGCTCGGCACCTCCTGTGTGCCAGGACACATGGGGACCTTACACCGTGCAGGCCATTTAAGGACTGACGGCCTGAGCTGGACCAAAGGCCATGCGAGCTATGACTCCCAGGAGAGGGTGGGGACTGTGCGGCCAGGCCGAGCCAGGTCCTGCCCGCAGCGATGGCCCAGGCCCCGGGAAGCCAGCCCAGCAGCCCACACGAGCTGGCTCATCACCTTGGCGATCCTGCAGGACGCACTGAAAATCTTCTCCACCTCCATGGCCCGGAGGTCTTCTTTACACTGCGCAAGCTCCAGCTCTGTGGACGCGTCCCATGAGGAGCGGGTCTGGCTTGCTGCCGGGGGTGCAGTTTCAGGCGTGAGCAGCAAAGACAGGAGGCGCGGCCACGAGCTATGTCAGGGCGGCCCCCACCCCGGCTGGCGGGGCGCCTGGGCTCGGCGGGTCCGACCGCACTGCGGCATCGGGCGTCCCGCCCCCTCCTGCCTTTGCGCTCACTGCGCCCCCCCCCACAACCTCCATACATGGCCCAACTACCTGTTCCCCCACAGGCCCTCCTGGGGTGGACGCCCCCAGCCCCCAGGGCACAGGCACACTCCCCTCCTGATGGCCACCGTGCTGCAGCCTCTCCCCAGCTCATCTCTGGCCCAGCTCATGCTGTGTCCTTGGTGTCTGTGAGCTGGCCTTGTCCCAGTGGGGCCCCTCAGGGCCCCGCACATGCCCGCAGTGAGTTACGCTGAACCAATGATCCTCTGCTTCCAGAAGCTTCCATGCGAGGGAGAGCCCTCCCTCCCAGCCGGGAGAAGGGGGGCCCGCTGTCCCCCGTTCCGCATACCATGAAGATCCAGCAGGCTGGACAGGACATCTGTTGAGGTCATGCGAGTGCTCTCTTTGGAGTCACAGGTGCACGGGGCAACGAGGCCGACCAGCGTACCAAACTGCCCCAGCTTCAGGGGGATCTGAGAGACGGGAGGCCTTAAGGATCACACTCAGGTGGTACCTCCTGCCCGCCTGAGGCCACCCAGGGGAAGGGTGGTGGGTGGCCAGAGAGGGGGACCTCTGCTCCGAAAACACCGCCCCATGTGGGAAGGGGGGCTGCCGCCTCCGTCTGCTGCCCAAGTTTCTGCCCCCGGAGCCCCCCAGCTGGGCCCCTGCAGGCTGAGCAGCCAGGATCGGGGAGGGCTCAGAATGGGCCTCCCCACTTACTAGCTGTGTGACCTGGCAGGGTTCCTAACCTCGGACCCCGTCTTCTTCATCCGATAATAATGGCACCCCGCCTCTCTACCCCCACCACGCCCGCCATTCAGGGGGCGGCGTGACAATTGCACCAGAAAACCCAGCATCGGGCTGCAAATGTTACTTGGCACTTGTCCTGGCCGTGACCTCATTTTGGGGGGCCTGTGTCCGGCCCCCCTCATTCTCACCATGTCCCCATCCTGAGACCTGAGGCTGGTCCCCACACTCTGGCCCCAGGACACCACCGTCCTCCTGCCAGTGCCGACTGTCCCTGGAGACCAGAATGTCCAAGATGAGGGAGCAAACAAATGGAGGAAGAGAGGTCCCATCAGGGAGTGTCAGACAAGTAACCAACAAAAACAGCTCGTTGCTTTTCTGGATGTTCATGGTGCTTGTCAAGCTTTATAAAATGTGTCATTGTTTAGTGATGTATTTTCTCATTTTAAGTGAACATTCACTTGTCTCGCCCATGTGGTACCATAACTGTGTCCTTTTTCTTAGAGAGAGCTGGCGCCACAGTACAAGCCTCAGGCCCCACGAAACAGACCCACGCCAGCGGCGCCCCATCCTTGCCCTCGCCCCCACCGGGAGTCTCCGGCTGGCCCCCGAGGCGTCTCGTGGCCATTCCCAAACGAGGGGGCCTCGTCCCAAGGGACTCTTCAGGGGGCAGAACCAGGCTGGGGGGCTGGGCGCCCCGGCACTCACACAGGCGCCAAGGCTTTGGGCGTAGGTCTGCATGAGACGAAGGTGGAGGTTCACAGCCTTCTCCCGCTCCCACTCTTTCTCCGACAAGATCCACTTTTCCAGGAGCTACGGACGGAGCCAGGAACACAGAAGGGAGCGTTAAAATCCCAAGGCCAGGCCTTTCCCGGCCTACTGTTGCCCTCCTCATCCCCCCTACTCAGAAGCTGACTTTCAGTGACTCTGAATGGTTCCAGACACTTCTGGTTTTCTTCCCAGGCCCCAGCACTAGGGTGATGAGGTGCGGGCACAGAGAGGGAACCGTCTCGGCATCCTCCCCAAGACGGCTCTTGACTACTGAATGTGTTGGGCCTCGCGCCAGGCGTTTGCGGGCCGGAAGCCCAGCCCGCCCGGCCCCCCAGGGCCTCCGCAGTCCTGCGTCTAATAACAGAGCTTCGTAACACACAGAGCAAAACCCAGTAGAACTGAAAGGAGAAATAAATAAACCGCAGTGATAGAGACTTCAGGACCTCTTTCTCAGTAACTGATGGAACAAGAGGACAGAAAATGAGGAAGGATCCAGAAAACTTGAACGACCCTGCCTGCCAACCAACATGGCCTAACCGATATTTAGGAACACCCCACCCAACACGGCAGAATTCTTCCCAAGGGCACGCAGAGCCATCACCAGAGATAGACCATACCTGGACTACAAAATAAGTCTCCTTTGATTCAGAAGGATTGGAATCACACAAAGTATGTCTTCAGACTACAATAGAGTTAAGGTAGGAATCAAAACCAGAATGACCTCTCGGGAGGGGTGATATCCTCAAATATTTGGAAATTTCTAGAAAACCCATGGGTCAAGGAGGAGATTGAAAGAGAAATTAATATGTCTTCTGAACTGAAATAAAGTTAGGACACAACGTTTTCGTGTTTATGGGATGCAGCCACCAAGAACAAAGCCAGCAGACCCATATGATCTACTGCTGACTTTAGACTTATCGCAACATTGCAGTAATGGAAACAGCATGATGTTGGTGTAAAATCAGACAAGTACACCAAGGGAGCACAATGCGTGTTCGGCAATAGAGGCACACGCACGTGGCCAATGGGCTTTTGACAAAGGTGCAAAGGGAATTAATTCAATGGAGAAAAGACCATCTTTTCAATAAATGATGCTGGAGCAACTGGTTATCTGTGTGCAAAAATACAAAAATTAAGTAGGCTCTGATCCGTACCTCGCACCATATACAATGGTTAACCCTAAATATATCACGGACTTCATTGTAAAACCTGAAACTACAGTTTTAGAAGAAAATATTTGTGATCTTGGGTTAGGGAAAGATTTCTTAGGTAAGATAGCAAAACCATGATCCATAAAAGAAAAAAAAATGCTAAATTAGATTTTATCAAAATTTAAAACTTCTGTTCTTCAAAAGAGACTGAGAAATTAATGAAAAGACAAGTTACAGACCAAGAGAAAATATTCACAAATTATATAACTGATAAAGGACTTGTATCTAGAAAATATAAAACGCTAAAAACAATAAAAAGAATGCAAACAACCTAATTTTTTTAAAAAAAAACTACCAGTACCCTTCAAAAATACCAAGATTGTAAAAGACAAAGACTGAGGAATTGTTCCAGACTGAAGGAGACGGAAGAGACATGCCAATGAAGAGCAATGCATGATCCACACTGGATCCTGAATTGAGGGAAAAATAGCTACGCAGCACATTGTCGGAACAATTAGAAAAACCTGACCATAGACCCTGGATATAGTATGGTATCGGTGTGAAATTTCTTGATTTTGATCATTGTTTTGTTATATAAAACACTATTCTTGCTCTTAATGTCTGCAACTAACTCCCTATGATTTAAAAGGAATACGTGTGATGAGAAAAAGAAGAAAAACTGTGGCCAAACATCAAGTCCTGTGAAGCTGGGTGAAATGTATGCAGGAGTTCTTTTTGCTATACTTGCAACTTTTCAGCAAATTCGACGTTTTGTCTAAATTAAATTACCGAAACCATGTTTAACTCTTCCTCCTGTTTCGCACAGAGAGCCTGGCCCCCCGCCCCGGCCCCGGCCCCCCGGGGCACCCACCTGCACCGCCTCCTGCAGCGCACCAGGGCCCAGCTGCCTCCGCAGGAGGCCTTCTGTCAGCCGCTCCAGGGCGCACAGGGCGTCCGAGTGCAGGGCCTACGACGGGACGGGGAGCGGGCAGCAGCGCGGGGCGCACAGCCTGAGATGGCCTGATAGTCACCCCTTGTACTTCTGCTCAGACGGAGCTCTTTACGCTCATCTTCTCGTGTGATGTGCACAACAACCTCTTAAGAGGGAGCCATTTCACAAAGGGGGGCACTGGCCTCCCAGAGCCCCCTTCTGGAGGCCCGGGTGGCTACCTGGCCACAAAAGGTGTGTCCTCCTTTTCCAGGAGTGCGCCTGGAAAACAGCCATCCAGTCTGGGACTACATTTCCCAGGACCCCCTGCCTCGAGGTACAGCCCTGTGACTGGATTCTGGCCAAGGGAAGGCGGGCAGAGCCGCTGGGGAATCCAGCAGACTCTCTTCCTCTCCGGGCTGGACCCCAGTACCCACGGGGGCTTTCGGAACCACTCGCTGAGGACGGCAGGGCTGCTCAACGACCGTGCAAAGCAGCGCTGTCCCCACCCCACTGCCTATTTGATCTCAGCTTCCATCTTGTTAAACAGCAGAGATTTCAGTCCGTCTGCTAAAGCAGCCAGCTCTATCTGGTGCTGACTAACGGAGCTCCCGCCCTTAGCTGCCTCTGGCCTCGGATGGCTGGTTCCAGACTCACGTTAAAGTCAACTTCCCAGTCCTGACCCCAAAAAGGCCCTGGAGGACCTACCTTAATGGACTCGTTGTCCTCCCCTGGGGGCACGAGAGAAACTACAGAATGTATGCTCGCATCCATCAGCTCGCTGTTTTCCTCCGTGGAGTAGAAGGGCTTCAATTCGCTAGGGACAGAAAAAGCGACCAAAGGAGTGGTCAGCGGGGAGCTGAGACCCATGGCCCAGTCTAGGGAGTGGAGGCATGTCACACATCAGGGGAGGGGCCCACTCCCCTGGCCGGGGGCTCCGGCGTGTGCCTAGGGCCCTGGCTCTGCCCAGCCATGCACGCCTGGTGACTGGGTCTGGGACTGAGGGGCAGACTCAGGGGTCAAGGCCCCCTCTCCTTCTTGGTGCCCGCTCTGCCCCTGACCATCTGCTGCTCCCTGACACCACCACAGACGCTGCCCTCCGGGCCAGTCCTGGCCCAGGGCTCGGGGGAAACACCGGGACCTGCAGTGGCGGCATCGCCACGGAGTCTATCGGGAATGCAGATGCCACGGCCCCGCCCCAGGGCCCCAGAATGGCCACCCCTGGGGTGGGCCCAGCTCACCTGAGGTGCCACAGGGCCTCCATGGCCATGATGCGCACAGGGGAGGCCAGGCCGTCCGGCGGCTCCGCCCTAATGATCGCCTGCCCGGCGGAACACGGCGGTGAGTGGCCAGGCCCCCGAGTCCCGGGCCAGTCTGGCGGGGCCCTTCACGCACAGGGACCCCGACCAGAGCTGCAGTGTTAGTGTCCCGAAGAGCCGATGTTTTTAGGGCCACTTGACCTTTGACATTTTCGGGGGCAGGGGGCAAACTCTGGTGGAGGGCGAGGGGCTCAGATGGGCGTGTGCGTCCCGCTCAGGTCTGCCTTCCGCAGGTGTCCCCTGGGGCTGAGCCAGGCCGGCATGAAACTACAGGTGCATTGCTCCCGGCCCAGACAGGAGCCAGACGCACGTCTGCTTCCTTCTCAGTCCCTCCTGTCCTGCCCACGCCTCACATCACTCCAGGGCTACTTCCAACACAGAGGGAGCAGGGACTGAGCCACAAACTCCATCAGTGCCTGTCACCGTCTCTCGCTTTTGGGCAGTTCGTGTTTTCTAGATCTTACCAAGGTTCTGTGCATATTAGCTTTGGTCTTGACTGCAGCTGCTACCTCCCCACTAGGTCCCTCCCACGGAGAAGCGCTGGGGCTGCCGTGGGGCGGCCCCGCCCTGAGTCCTGGCCCTGAACCAGCCGCCTCAGGGCCACGGAGAGCCCAGCCATCCCGTGGCCATGAAGCTCCTCATCAGATAACAGGATGTCACCCCAGGACTTGTACGCTCGGATCAAAGCAGCACAGAGACGGGAAGGGGCCTCAGATGCCCTCAGGAACTCAGCGGAGTGGGACCCCCTAGCGCCCAAAGCCAAGGACCCGGGTTTACCAGGAGAATGGTCGTGAGAGCCGCCTTTTGGGCAAATTGGAAGTCCTCCGGGTCCCTGAGGTTTCTGATGGCATTGGCGACCTGCACCACACTCTTCATGAAGGCCATTTTGAGGCCGATGTCCTGTGCGCGGACCAAGACCGCGGGGAGGGAGAAGCCAGTCGTGAGTGAACCCGAGGACACCAAGCCACGGCCTGCGTGCCCGGGCCCTGTGGCCGCCGAGGCACGGGCCTTCCTCCGCGCTCAGAGACAGCTGGCCGCATTCTGTCCTGCAGCTGCTGACAGAGCACCGGCCACGTGGCAGGGCGGGGACCAGGCCCCCCACACCTGGGCCCGAGGGCAGCAGGGCTGGTCAGTGGGCACCTTCGAGGACCTGGGGCACCGAGCCCCGTGTGTCGCCAGAGAGGCAGCCTGAGTTACTGGGAGAAGACCCTGTGTGCTTTTACAACACAGAGGAACCTTGAGGGCATCATGGGAAGTGGAATAAGCCAGACACAGAAGGACAAATACTGTGCGATTCCACCTGGGTGAGGTCCCCGGAGCCGTCACACTGACAGAGAGAAGGGGAGGGTGGGCGCCGAGGGCGGCGGTGCGGGGGGTGGCAGTCCTTTGCTGGGTGCAGGGTTTCAGTCACACGACATGAAGGGACTGGAGGTGGGTGGCGGTGATGGCCGCACCGCCATGGGAAAGTACATAATGCCACGTAAAAATGGTCGCGATGACAAAGTTTATGTGATGTGCATTTTACCACAATTTTTAAAAATAACGAAGTGATGTTTGCTTTAGTTCCTGGGTTTTCTCCTCGCTATTCCAAGAAAGCATCTTGTCCCCTATGAAAAGGTCTAGGGTCAGGTGTTGGGATCGGGGGGACAAAGGCGAGAGTAGAGGGAGGGATGGCGACTGGAAAGGGGGACTCATCTTGTGACTTCTGGGGACTCACGCTCACCCCAGCACTCGGGGAAGGGGCTGCCCCCACCTCCTGCCCCAGAGCAAAGCACAGGTTGGGCAACGGGCCTTCCAAACGCTGGGAGTCAGGTCGGGCTCCTGGGTGTCTCCACGTGGGCCACGGGCTGCCTGCATCCAGCCCTGGCCTCACCCCCACCCGAGGGGGACTCGGGGTGACTCCGCCAGCTGGGGTCAAGGAGGGCGTCTCCCAGGCACCGAATGCGGGCCTGCGGCTCTCCGGAGTTACCTGGGAGCTGCTGGTGTAGTGGTGAATGATCTTCGAGGTGATGGGGGTGTCCACATGGGCGCGCAGCATCCGCCAGTGGCAATGCAGGGCCACGCAGCCGTACATCACCATGAGGGCGCTCTTCACCGTCTCCCGCCTCCAGGGGAGGTCCTTCTGCAAGGCCCACAGGAGGGACGCTAGCCGGCCGTGTGCTCAACTGGTCCCACTGGGAGGGGGAGGGGTCCGCCCCAGCTGCTCAAGGATGGTCTCTGGTCACAATACCAGGAGGGCCAGGGAGTCAGCTGAAGGTGCCTAAAATGCTCATTTATCTGTTCATTCATTCAACACCTTTTTATGGAGCACCCACCACACTCCAGGCCCCAGGTGTAGTGCGGTGAGCAAGTCAGAGCAGGGCCAGACCGCCCACTGGCTGCGAGCAGATGGCCCTGTGGACAGCCCTGAGCAGAGGCTGGCTGCACCGCCGTCGCGCCTCCGCCTGCCGGGCGCCTGCTCTGGGCCAGGGGCTCTCAGGGTGCTGGGGACCCAGTGGGGACGGGCAGCCTCAGCCCTGCTCTCCTGGGAGGCGATGGAGACAGACCCAACATGGAAGCGCGGCAGGGCGTTCCCGGCCCGGACAGGTTGCGAGTAGAAATCCAGGCCTCAGGTCCTGCTCCATGGAGAAGCCTGAGACCCCCAGGGCCAGGGTCGAGGTCAAGGCGAAAGCTTGAGGCATCGGTGACTCCAGACGGTTACGCACTGGGGACTCGGCCAACCTGTGGCGCCACGCCCTGAAGCAGGGCACTGGAGCAGGGGCTGGCCGTGGGCTGCTCGGGGCCAGGTCCTGGCTTCAGCACTGGCTGGCTGCACGCCTTTGGACAAGCTTCGGCACTCTCTTCTTCACGACTGTGGCCATTATGCCCCGCCCACCCCAGCCTCGCTGATTCCCCAAGGCAGCACCTGCACTTCTTCAGACCCAGTGGGCTGGGCGAGGCCCGGGACCCTGCGGGCCAGCCAGCACCCAGGCACCCCGCCCATGAGGAGCAGGGGCCCGGAGGCCTCTGCAATATCCGGGGCCTGGAGAGGGCCACCCTGTGTTCTTCACTTCCCCCGACAGCCAAGGCCCTGTTGGAGGCGGCTCCGATCCGTCATTTGGTGACAGGAGACATGGAGGGGGGATTCTTATTGCAATCGAGTAAGAACCTGTTGTTCTCAGAGGCCCCCGAGGCCTGGCTGTGGAGCGAGGGAGCCTTACCCGCCAAGCACCGATCTGCCAGGACTGCTCCGACTCCTGGATCCTCTCCTCGAAGTCACGCAGCACGTTCAGCACCGTCTTCACCTGGCCCCGGGCGCACAGGCCAAAGCACAGGATCACGCCCTGCGGGCAGACCCAGCCGGCAGGGGTGAGGGGTCGGTGAGGGCAGAGAAGGGGCCCCCGTACACACATGCACATAAGCATGGGTCACACATATGCACACATGAATGGAACGTGTGCACACACGTGCAGGCAGGCACTCATGCACCCATAGGTATGCACCTGCCGCATGCACAAATGCACGTGCCACGTCCCCTGCGGGTCCAGAGAGCCCTGGCGGGCGGGCAGGCGGGGGCTGCAGGGCGCGCTCACCTCCTGGTCGAAGTCCTTGCTGTAGTCCGTCTTGTACAGCAGCTCCAGCAGCAGCAACTCCACCTTGTCAGCCTCCAGGCCTGTGGCCAGGGTGAGGCCCAAGGCCCGGTACAGAAATCTCTGGAGGGCGGAGGGCAAAGGGAGCTTCAGGCCTTTGTCCTCTGCGCCCCCTGGGGCCTCTGTGCCGGGGGGTGTGGTTCGCTGCAGAGTCCTCTAAATATATTCTTAATACGCAGGTGTCCACGCATTTTGTACATTCTTTAAAATGAATGTTCAGGGGCAGTTGGACTGTGTGCGCAGACCCAGGCCTATTATAAAGAGGGGAGGCCGCATTTCTCTGCTGTATGAACTGAACCAATTTACACTCCCACCAACCAATCCCAAAGGCCAATTTTCCCACATTCCCTCGCATGTAGAACGTTATCAGGGAGAGGCAGGACACACCATTTTCACGTGTTTCTTTATCAGTCACGCTGAACATCTTTGCACATTCTCGTATCCACTCTTTGAATTTCTATCTATGTTCTTTCCCCATTTTCTGTTTGGTTATTCTCTTGTTTTTATTTTGAAGAACTTAGTGTGAAATATACAAGAACTTGATGTGTAGATTTGAAATAAGAACGAACAAACACGTATCACTTCACCAGGATGTGAAATCAAGCACGGCCTGAGGCTCACTGCTTAACAGTCGCGCGTCGGAAGAGCCTACTGGCGGATCGCCAGCGGTGCCGTTCCCGGTGCCTCGTTTCCCTTTTGATTTTATTTACGATAATTTTGTTTTGTCACACAGAAAATTTTCATAGAGGAAAGTGTCTTTGTTTTCCTTTGTCTCTCTTATTCCAGGAGGGCTTATTCCATGTTAAAATTATAAAAATATTCATCCGCGTATTCTCCTGGTTGCTCCACGGTTCTATGGCGCGCACTTCAGTCTTTGCTCCAGGACGGCAATTCCTTCTTTAATGTGCTTCATTTTCACGGTATTCTTAGCTATTTGCTTACATTTTTTTTCATTCAGCTGGACTTAGGAATAATCTTGTCAAAGTTCATAAATTAGTCAAATATATGTAAATTATATTGCTGATTAATTTGAGGACAGTGGACACCGTCACAACATTGAGACTTTCTGTTGACAAACAAATGGTTGTATCTGTTTGCTCGGGGCCTCTCCCTCTAATTTCGTGTCCTTCACATGGGTCCCACGTTATTTCATGTGGTTAATATTTTATGACCAAATATATATTGATTACATATTTTACATTGCATTGGTCCTTTGAATAGGATCTGTTTCCATTACATTGTATTTTTGTTTTCTTTGTATGTAGGAAGATGTTTTCTGCGTGTTACTTTTGGAAGAAGACTGGCCCTGTCCACTGGGGTGATACATCCGGAGGCTGCTGGTAGCCCCCGACCCCATCTAGAGGGGTCCAGCCTAGCAACAAAGAGCTCAATGTGGTCCTGGTGAAGTTCCTTAAGCTGCCGTATCCAACTGTGCCTTTTAAAGTTATCTGAGCCAATGCAATCTTATTTATTTACTGTTCTTAAGCTAGGTGAGGTATTGCAATATGGTTAAATTGCATGCACTTCCTTATGCCATACTACATGCAACTTTCTATCAAACGGCATCTGGCCTTAAACTGACATTTGGTAAGAACTTATATCTGCCAACCTACAGTTTTAACTATAGAGATATCTGTAAGATATACTTTACTATTTGTTATTTTATATACTCACTTGTAAAGGTATATATCTGAACAAACACAGGTTTTGGTGGACACCTATAGAAACCTTTTTAAAAAACATCTTTACTGAGATATAATTCACCTTCCATAAAATTAACCCCTTCGAAGTTTACAAATCCAATGTATCTTCACACACTGGTGTAACCACCGCCAAAATCGAGGTTTGGAACATTGGGTCGCCCCAGAAGGAAACCCGCGTCTATTGGCAGTCACCCCACCCCTTCCGCAGCCTCTGGCAACCACTCACCTACTTTCTGTCTCTATGGAGACGCCGGTTCTGGACACGTCCTATAAATGAAGTCATATAATAAGTGGTCTTTTGTGTCCTTTGCATCTTGCTTCTTTCACTCGGCAGGTTTTCAAGGATGATGTTTTTGTTCTGTATGTCAACGCATCATTCCTGCTTATGGCTGAACAGTGTTCCATCACATGGGTGGAGCACATTTTGCTTATGAATTCACCCACTGATGGGCACTTGAGTTGTGCCCACTTTTTGGCTATACGAACAACGCTTCAGTGAACATTTGTATACAATATTTCATGTGGACGTTTGCTTCCCTTTTCCCCAAGGAGTTGCTGGGTCACGTGTTACCGCCATATTTAACATTTCCAGGGAGCGCCAGACTGGCTTCCGAAGCCGCCGCACCAGTCCACCCTCACACCGGCCCCACGGGAGGGCTCAGGCGTCTCCACGCCCGCCAGCCCTTGTTGTCATCTCTTACACTGGGACCATCCTTGTGTGCGTGGAGTGGCACCTGAGGTTTGATCTGCATTTCCCTGATGGTGACGATCCTGAACACTTACTTGCCATTTGTGTCTCTTTTTAAAAGAAATGTTGATTTGGATCCTTTGCCCATTTTTAACTGGCGTGTTTGTCCTTTTATTACTGAGCTATAAGAGTCCTTCATATATTTCAGATACAAGCTTCTTAACAAGAACTTGACTTACAAATATTTTCCACCATTCCCTGCGGGCCCTTCCACTCCCTCGGCGGCACCATTTTCAGCAGAAGTGCATTCACTTCTTGGACTATGTCCCACTCGTTAATTTTTATCTTTCCTCACTTGTGCTCTTAGTGTCGTTTCTAAGATGGCTTTGCCCCAGCCACGGTCACAGAGATTCACACCTATGCTTCCTTCTAAGAGTTTTATAGTTTGAGGCTTCATATGCGCGTCTGTGATCCCTTTCGAGGTCATTTTTATGTGTCACCCTTTCGCAGGGGCAGGTGCATTTGTCCCAGCTCCACTTGTTGAAAAAAGCTGTGCTTTCCCCATTGACCCCTTTGTCGGAAATCAACTGCCAGTCCACGTGAGGCTTATTTCCGGACTCCCGATTCAGCTCCCTCGATGCCTCTCTCTACCCTTATGCCAGTGCTGCTCTGTCTTGCTCACTGCCGCGGCGTGCAAGAGAGTGTCAAGTCTGAGTCCTCCCATGTTGTTCCCTTTTAAATCATAGTTTTCCTGGCTGTTCTGGGCCCCTTGCATTTCCTCAGGAATTTCAAGATCAGTTTACCCGTCTCTGAAAGAAAAAACCCAGCTGGAATTATGATAGCGGTCATGTTGAATCTATAGATATATTTCGGGAGTTGTCGTCAGCTTAACTGTATCGTCTTCCAGTCCATGAACATGGGATGCTTTCCGTTGATTGAGACCCCCTCCGACTTCTTTCAACCATGTTTATAGTTTTGTAAAGAGCTTTCCATAGGGAAACATACACATGTGATCGTAGGGCAGTATCTGGCTGAGTCAGGTGTGAGGAACTACACCCAGCAGCCTGTCGGGGGTGGGGAGTTAGGACAGCCGGGAGCCCAGCTCCACACCCCCGTCTGCCCCCTACAACCCGGACACCTGTGGTTCAGTGTCATCCTCACCTTTCCCCATTTACCGAGACCTGCCCTGACATTTCAGCCCTTGCCTGTTGGACTCGGCTCTGAGACACCTTCAGGTAGAGAGGGAAGTGAGAGGGAGGGGAAGCTGGTGGGCTGGAGGAGAGAGCCTCAGCTTCAGCACAGCAGGTTCTTAAAGAGAAGCAAAACAAAAACTAACCCCTCCCCGTCCTCCCAGGAGCCACAGGGCAGCTGCTCTCACAAGGTGCAGCCTCTCCACTGCAACGCCCCTGGGCACCCCTCCTTGTCCAAACTGCCCCGCCCCCGCCGTGGGGACCAACCTTCTCCAGGGAGGGGCTGTCAAAGCTCTCGATCTGGTTGTTCAGCTCTTTGCCCAGACGCAGGCTCCAGTTGGAACCCCGAGTCTTCCTGAGGGAGTGCCTCAGAAACTGGGGAGGGAGGGGGCATGGGTGGGCGGTGCTCCAGGAGGGCTGGGTGCCACTGAGCAGCAACCCACCTTCCCCAGCCTCTGGGCCCATCCCCCAACCCGTAAAGCCCTGATCTAGTGCGGACGTTCTGTGGGCCTGTGGGCCTGGGCAGCAGCTCTGGCTTGAGCGCTCGTGGGAGGGTGTCACCCCGTGCTGATGTCCTGAGCACTCGGTGACCCCGGATGGAAGGCCCTGGGCTCTTCCCCGTGGGGAGACCCCACAGTGTGCATGCTTGGGGCTCCCCCAATCTTCTAACAGAGGGAGAATGTGTCCTGTAAGGGCCCCTAAGCTCCCACATGCCAGCCCCACCAAGTGCCCTCCATCGATCCCCCTCCCTCCCCACCCTGGTCTCAGCAGGCGGAGTCACCGCTCTACCTGAATCAGCTTGTCTTCCCAGGTCTTCTGATTCCAGGTGAACTTTGTGTGTTCTGCAGAAAGAAGGGTCACCTGTGCCACTGTCTTCTGCACCTCCCACTGGGCCACCTCCTTAGCCTGGCCTGCGAAGCCCTGCACGGGTCGGCTCACCCCCCCGCTGTGTATCCCTGCTCACCTTCCCGAGGACCAAACCGGGCGGTGCCACCTCACCCCGAGCCTTGGCTCCTGGGGCTCGAGCCACACGAGCAGTGCCCCAGTCTGCACCCCAAGAGAGCAGTGGGCTTGGGGTGGGCGCCCCGAGCCCCTCACCTTCCAGGTAGTTGACCAACAGTGGGATCTCCAGCTCCCACATGTCGGCCATGGAGGGTGCGATGCTGTGGCTCAGGGTCCTCAAAAGGTTGAGCATGGCGATCCCCCTGCCCTCCCCTTCGTACGGGGACGACATCAGCACCTGGAGGGAGCCAAGCCTCCGGTAGGCCCCTGCCTGCTCTGAACGACCCCCGGCACCTCACTCCCAGCAGGGAGAAGAGACAGCAAGCACCCTCCCCACCCTAGATCTCCACGGACCACGGAGGAGCATCCAGAGCCCACCCCAGGGTGCAGGACGGAGCCCACCCCCCGGGAGCAGACAGGCCATCGGCCCGGGGATGCTTCGAGGCTGCTCCAGGGCTGGGCAGAGGAACCCGAGGGCAGATCCAAGCCCCCGACCCCTGACATCTACGCGGGGTGGAGGGGGGACACCAGGGACCAGGAAAGCTCCGCTGTATCACGCAACCTGCTCCCACCTCCCTCTGGGGGCTCCGGGAATTAGCGGCTCAAGGGAGAGGCACCGCAGGACACGGCCACGGCCACACAGGGCACACCCCGGGCGAGCCACTCACCAGGAGGCGGGCCAGCAGCTTCTGCGGCACGGGCAGGTCCACTGAGGAAGGAGATTCGACCCCGCTGAAGGGCGTGGCCCCAGCCAGGATGTGCCCTCCCTGTGTCCCCGGTGGGGGCTTTGCCCTGGAAGGTGCTTTCGCAACACCATCCCATTGTCTCCAGGGTGGAGAATGTGTTGGCAAAAGGGGGGTTTCCATAAAGAACATCGTTTTAATGGGCCAATCCTGGGAAGGGTGGAGAATGGACTGGGAGCTGAGAAGATGTGATTTTCAGGAGGAGCCCCCTTTGTGGAGGACTCCAGGGCCCCCATGAGAGTGGCCGTGTCTTACTGTGAAGCTTGGCATCACTGAGCCAGCAGCAATCGGACACCCGCCCCCTGCCGCCCCGCACCTGCGCGCTCTGGAGTCAATGAGTCTGTAAGAAGCAGGCACAGCGCCTGGGCCAGGAGGCAAGGGCGGGCCAGGCTTGCTGAGGAGTCGCAAGTGCCGGGGCCGGAAGAGGACGCCGCTGCCCCCCACCCCGACCGGGGTTGGGGGCATGAGGAAGACCTGAGGAGGTGGCCTCGCTGGTGGCTCAGAGCAGAGTCTGCCTTCAGCTGTCCCCAGCCCCTACAGGGCCCCCAGAGCCACCTCCACTGTCAGCCACGCTGTCAGCAAAGCCCTAGGCCCTGGGAGCAGTCCCATGAGGACCACAGTGTCACCCTGCACAGAGAGGCCCTAGTCACTTTGTGGAGAGTCTGATGTTCCCAGTGCTCAGTCGTGGGGACCACAGTGGGTTGGTCTACAAGGACTCAGATGGGACATCTGTTGTTCCCCCACCGGCTCACAGAAGCCCAGAATGTCACACCACCAGCGAGGCTGTGCAGCGACCTCCGCAGGGTGAGGTCAGGGCTGGGACATGGGGACATGGGGATGTGGGGAGTGAGCTGCCAGAGGATGCTTGTCCGATGTCAACATCCCCTGTATGTGCCCTGGGCAGGCCCTCGGCCTGGCTGTTAGGGCTCCAGGACGCTTCCTGGAGGAGAGGGACATTTGGGGACACAGCGACCCCCCCCCCGCGCCCCGCCCGGTCCCACTCGCTGGCTCAGGGGTGCTGCCCACCGTGCCTGCTCCTGCTGGCTGCGCTGGCCTCCTCAGCCGTGGAGTGGAGCTGGCGCTCCGCCAGGTTTGTGAGGCTGACGCAGATGGGGGTCAAGACCTCCACGTTGTCTGTCTCCATGATGTAGCACAGGAGCCTCACCCAAAACTCCTGGGGGGAGGAGCCAGAGTTCGCCGGGGTGTCCCATGCCCGCGAGGAGATGAGTCAGGTCCTTCCCCCGCCCTGCACAGTGCGGGCCTCACTTCGGTTTTCCAGAACTGCTCTCCCACTCACCGGCAGCCTCCGCCCGGGCTGGCTCTGCCGCCGACCCTGGTCTCTGCCACGGCCGTCTGAGCGGCACTGCCCACCCCGACATGGCGGAAGGAGCAAGCTGGCCCTGGGAACCCGATTCCGGTCCCTGCTGACCTCCCGCCTCGCTTCACACACCCACCGCATCCCCTTCAACCCCAATCCCGTAGAGGTGCACGCCGGGCAGACGATTCAACGGTGTTCACCAGCTGTGAGGGGCAGGGTTGTGGGTCAGCGTGGCCAGGCGAAGGTACCCAGCTATGCGACCAAACCCCAATCTAGCTGTGGCTGTGAAGGTTTTGTACATGTGACAAAAAGAGACTGTCCTCGATAACACAGGGGGTTGCGGGGGCTTCATCGCGCCAGTTAAGAAGCCTTGAGCGCAAAAACCTGAGGTTTCCCTGAGCAAGAAGTCCTCCCGCCGCCAGGTGGCAGCACGCGCTCCTACCCGAGAGTCCAGCCTGCTGCCTGCCCTGCGGACTTCAGGTTCGCCGGCCCCGACGACTGCGGAAACCAATGCTTCGAAGTAAGTAGTGCGTGTGCGTGCGTGCGTGCGTGCGTGCGTGCGTGTGTGTATCTCCCACTGGTTCTGTTTCTCTGGAGAACACTGACTGATACACGTTCTTGGGGCCGTGTCTCTAGCCCTCTGACTTCACCCAGCCATCTCCCCTCTCCCTGAATGATCGTTGGTTGCCCCCAGCTGATCCTGGTCCCCCTAAGCCTCACTCGACGCCCCTGGGAGTGTGGGGTGAAGTTCCTGTGCTACCAACACACACGTGCAGTCACGCGAGCTGCCGGGAAGAGAACACTCAGCGCCTGGGCGCCCCTCCCCCCCCTCCCCCGCCCCGCCCCGGGGGGCATCGCAGTGAACTGGAAACAGCATCTTAATGTTGGTTCCACTGTTTGCCAGCTTCAGAGCCTGGACCAAATTAATGTCCCTCTGATGCTCAGCCTCCTCGTCTATAAATGTAGGGTAATAATAAGAGACCGTATCTCATTGGTTGGGGTAATGAAACCAGAGTCAGCACGTTGCACACATAGTACAGTACCTCCCATATGCCGATGTTCAATGAGTTGTTGAGATCATTATTCTTGTCATGATGTCTGTTATTAGGATAAGCCGCCCCTGAACAGGGCATCTAGCCCATGGTCGCAGTTAATGGACAATGATACCCTCCTTGAGCTGTCAAGGTAAATTTTTCCTACCGTATCGCTATGTCACAGTGTATTGCAATGGAAAGTTGACACATTTGTTTCCCCTTAAGCCTGTGAACTCCTTGGGGCCATAGTGAGCGTTTCCGGTGTGGGCCCTCACGTCTTTCACGTAGTAGGAACTTGCCAAATGTTTGTGGAATTAAACCACTAAAATCATCTCTTTACAAACACACACCCCTAGACTGAAGGGGATTTAAGGTAACAAACACATTTAGGCACTAAGTCAACTGATACATGTTGAGGCCCTACTGTGTGCCAGGCACTGCCCTGGCACCTGGGGGCTCTAGGTTCCCATCAAGCACCTGGCTCTGGAACTGCATCTTGAAGGACCAGAGCTCAGGCGGGTGGAAGATCAAGGCGCCCAGGCATCCTGGGCAGCGGGAACGGGAGAAGCAACGGCGAGGAATTCTGGGCCTGCACCACTCCCCCGCGCCTGGCAGAGCTGCGCAGACAGGGCCACCAGCGGCAGGGCACCAGCCCGGTGGGCAGGGCGGGGGGCGGGGCTCACTCACGTGGGTCATCCCACTGACAGAAGAGGTGATGATCTTCACGGTGTCCATGGTGACTTTGTGAACCATCTTCTCCTCCAGGTCCCTCTGATGGAAGCTGTCCCGGCGATTTGTCTGGAATGCAGAACCGAGAGGTCCCTGCCTGCGGGCTGGCGAGGGGCTTGCCGTGGCCTCAGGTGTGGCCTCCTCACCCCCATGGGGCTCGATGCCCCGATACCGAGTCTCGGGATGCTCAGCATGTCTCTCCTGCCTGTGTGGCTGCGCCCGCCTTTACATGCGGGTGCCCCTGTGTCTGCACACTGGTGTCGCGGACGTACAGGCCTGCAGGTCCCAGCTCGGGTGCATCCTGTCTTCAACCCTTTGGAAACCATTTCCCAAGTCTGGCTGCTCCCTGGCCAGGGCCACTCACCAGTTTGTAGGTGGACAGGGTCAGCTGCATGGACACGAACTTCAGGCCCCAACCTTTGATCCTGTCCTGAAAGCCGGACAGAGCCAGCTGGCCCATGATGCGGAGAATAGCCATCCTCACCTGGAGGCACAGGGTGGAGGACACGCTGGGCGCTGGGGTGGGCTCCGGGGTGGGAAGCGTGGCCTCTGACACCCAATCCCGGGATGCGAGACAGCTGGAATCTGGGGGTGCTCGGGGCTGTGCACGGCGCCTCAGGGGCCACCTGCCCACTGCCCACTCTGTCCACTGCCCCTGCCCCATCCAGAGGGTCCCGCTCTGCGGCACGTCCACCCCAGAGCCTCGTCTGGATCATTCAGAGACACGGAGGGCACCCTCTTTTACGTGGACAGCACCCCCCTCAGGGGACCGCTGGACTCTTACACTGGGGCTCCCCGGGGCTGCTGTGCGGGGCAGCACAGAGCAGGCCCGTCCTCTCTTACCTCGACAGCCCCCAGCATTGAAGACAGCGCTACCTGGATCTCCAGCCCAAACTCTCCCATCCTGGGCCTCCCCCACCACCGCCCCTGGGACGGGCAGCAGCCCCAGGGCCCGGGCCAGAACCGAGGCCGCCCTGCAAGGTGGCCCTGGCTGCCAGGGCGTTCTCATTTGGAGGGTGGAGAGTGTGTCCCCAGGTGCTTTCTTCCCTTACAGCAACCACCTTACAACACCCCCCAGGGGCCTAACTGCTTTGGCTGGAGCTGCAGCCCCACGCCCTGCCCCGCTCCAGGGTGTGTGAGACCCCTCGCCGGCACACTGGGGACAGTGAGACTGGGAGGAAAGCGGCCGCAGTGGGCCGCCTCCACCCGCTGCCTTGCCAGTGCTGGCCGGGAAGCCGGGTTTTCTGTGAAGGGCATCACCGAGGCGCCGGCCTCCGCCCGATGACCCGAGCTGGCCGCCGGCCTGGCTTCCCTCTGCCACCCGCCAGAGGCCGCTGAGCACCGCCCCCTGCCGGCGCCGGCCCTGTTACCTTGGGGCGGGTATCGGAGATGGAGCTCTTGACTACCCGGATGGCCAGGCAGATAGTCTTGATGTTCATCCTGGGCTCTGAAAGAGGAGAGCCAACCTGGAGGGCCGACAGCCTCAGGCTGGGAGCTGCAGAGGTGCCTGCGGGGGCAGCAGCCCACCTTCCCTGGACAGGCGACCCACCCCCTTCCACAGAGAGCCCGGCAGACAGCAGGCGGCCTGTCCACGCCACAGCCTCCTGAGCCTCCCGCTCTCTGCCGCGCACCCAAGGGCACTTCCCGCAGAAGCCTCCAGCGCCTGGCCCCGCACACCCTGGGCCGCCCCGGCGCGGTGTGTTTCCTGCCTCACTCCCTTGGCCTCTGCTTGGCGTGTGTCCTTTTCGAACCTAGTTGGAGTCTCCAGGAAGAAGGGTCTCCACCTAAGAGCTTTTTAGTCCCCTGAGCTGGGCTGCCGGTGCAGGGCACACAGAGGGTACGAGCAGGCTGCAAAGCACAGGCTCCAGGCCCAGGCCTGGCCCCAGGACACCCCAGCTGTGAGGCTTCGGGTGAATCACTTAGCCTCTCTGTGCCTCAGTTTCCTTACCCAGAAAATGGGGACAATGATAGTACCTCCCTGACAGAGCCGCCGGGCAGTGACGGGCTAAACACAGTGCCTGGTACACGGGACATGCGGCTTTGTGTTTTGAAACTGACGACCACACCCCCAGTTAAAGCAGGAGGGCGATTCCGGGAGGTGAGAAAGCACCCCCACGCGAAGGTTCTGGAGAGATCGTGTATGGGCAGAGCTAGGGTTGGGGCTTAGGGCGACGTTGCGCTCAAGGGTGGGTGTGACTAGAAGTGAGTGCTGGTGGAGGAGACAGGGAACGAGGACAGGTGACCAGGTACTGAGGGGGCTGTTACTTTTTTCTGATTGTATAGTGTATGTTCATTGCAAAATTAAAACTAAAAATAACTGGTCAACAGTTCACGTGTGTCCAAGCCCGTTTATGCATAAACAGATTTCTTTCAAAAAGCCGAGGTTTTGCTATGTATGCTGCCTCATACTATATTATAACATATTGTTAAACTTAATGTATGAAGGGCAGCTTTCCATGGAAAAGTAGAGGCTGACTACATCCTTACGGTTGTATAATACTCCATTCTGGAGATACACTATCATTTTTTTCCAAAAATTCCCTAGAGAAAAAAAATTGTTTGTTTCTAATGTTTTGCTTTTATGTACAGTATTATAATGAACACTGTTGTCCAATTACCTTTGGGCAATTTTTTCATTCAATTGACAAAAACTTGGATTGTTGAGCCCCGGTTTTGGCCCCTACTCAACTGCGCATCCAAAATTCTTCATCAGCTTACACCCCTGTCAAATAGGAGTAAGAAGCTGGTTCCTTGTTATTCTAGACCGGGGATTAGCAACGTGCAGCCTGTAGGCTAAACGCAGCCCAAGCCCATCTTTGTAAATAGCTCTCTTGGGACACGGCTGCGCTCTGCGGTCTGACTGCTTTTGCTCTGCAGTGGCGGAGCTGAGTAATTTGTCCCAAGGACCACGTGGCCTGTGAGCTGAACATATTGCTATCATCACCTTGCACAGAAAAGCGGCTAGGACAACTCGAGTCATGTCATCTCTGCCCATGGGCTAAGTAAAAGGGGACTCATTGATGCTTAAAGTCACATTTCTTGAAGAGAGGGGTCACAGCCGCCCAGTCTGCGCCCCGCGCAGGGACAGCGGGCTGAGCGGAAGCCACCCCGGCTCTTCTCCAGGCATGTACCTGCAGGGCGGCACGCTGCCAGCAGGGGGCGCCTGGTCCAAAAGGTGAGACTGAGCTAGTCCGGCATTTTCCTTGTTATCAAGGCCAGAGTATGGGTTTAAGGATCCAGAATCAGGGCTTTTAGACTAAGGTTGAGCATGGGGTCCATGAGGCTTTAGGGCTATCCCCGCATGCTGTAACGAGGCTTTCTATGTGCCTCCGATTTAGGTTTGGGCTTAGTACTGGGATTCAGGTTAACAGTTTGAAATTCAGACTCAGGTGGAAGCTGGGACTCAGGGTTTAAGGAGAGCGTTAGGAGTGGGGAAGCGGAGGTCACAGTGTTGGTTAGGTTCTAGAAGAGAAAACCTGAAGCAGCCCTGGCTGGTGTGGCTCAGTGGATTGAGCGCTGACCTGCAAACAAAAGGGTTGCCGGTTTGATTCCCAGTCAGGACACACGCCTGGGTTGCGGGCCACATCCCCAGTAGGGGGTGTGCAAGAGGCAACCACACTTGTGATGTTTCTCTCCCTCTCTTTCTCCTTCCTTTCCCCCCACCAAAAAAATAAAATATATAAAATCTTTTTAAAAATTTTTTTAATTAAAAAAAGAAAATACGAGGCAGTCCAGAGCGATGGCTCCTTAGCTCACCAAGCAGAGTGTACAAAAGAGGAAATGGGTGAGACCCGCCCCCCGCCCCGGCCCACGCCCGCCTGGCGGCCCCTGCTCACCATCCGCGGCCACCACTGCCCTGATCAGGGTCAGGGTCCCCAGGCGGACGGCTTCCTTGCTCATCTCCATTTGGCTGAGGAAGAACTTCATCAGCTCCTTAGGGTAGGAACGGGCTGCGGAGGAAGGGCCGTCTGCGTCATTCCCGCGGGGCCGGCAACGGGCGCGGGCGGGAGGTGGGGGCGGTGGCCGGGCAGGGAGCAGGCAGCCCTGGCCGGGCCGAACCAGAGCCTCACCGAGGGCGATGAAGCAGTGCTCGATCTCCCTCACGTTCTGGCCGCTGTACTGATGCTGAGCGGGGGCCTTGGCGCACACCTTGGAGGGGGCAGGGCGGGGTGGGAGGTGGGACCCCCACGAACAGCGGAGGCGGGTGCACAGGAGTCAGAGGAGGGGCCGCCACCATCTCCCCTCTGCCCAGGTCGGCCTCCTGCCCAGCCGCTGCCGCGTCCTGCCGGTGGGCTCCGCCCTGAGGATGGCCTGCCCAGCCCAGCTTGCTGGCCTCACCTGGATGTGCAGTTCCGTGAAAATGGTGTGTAGCTGCATTTGGGGGACGGGGGTTCTGGTGGTGACCGACACTTCCAGGATCTGCCTCAAGATCTGCAACGGAAGGACAGATGGCCTTCGACTGACTCACTCGAAACCCTGGCCACGCTGCATGGTGGAAAAGGCAGCCGCTCCGGCAAGTGCCACAAACTGGCGGAAATGACCCTGCGTTTGAACCAGGCCCCAGGCCTTTCCTGTGCTCAGCGAAGCTGGGGAGCCCTGCGCTGGGTCACCAGGCGTGACGTTCAAGGCCATCTTCACCTTTCTCTCTTAGTTCCTGGGAGGTGACTCCCATTCTTGAGCCGGAAAGATATGCAGGTGGCTCCCTAACTCCATCACGTTCATTTCCGCTGCTTGCGTTCACAGCTAAGGACCATGCCTCGCCTGAAGGTGGGCGAAAGCTTTACAATATAGGTCAGGCGGCCCAGGTCACGCCTCCACTCCCATGGGTTCAAAGCTGCCATGGGTGGAAAGACATGCCCTCAAAATACATGGACCCTCAGAATGTGTCCTTATTTGGAAACACAGACTTTGCAGATGGAATTAGTTAAGGACCTGGAGATTAGATGGATCCTGGATTAGGGGCGGGCCTTAAGTCCGATGACTGGCGGCATCCTTCGAAGGAGAGGAGAGGACAGCGACACAGAGGAGGAGGCCAGGGGAAAATGAAGGGCAATTCTGAGTGAGGCGGCCACAAGCCAAGCCATGCTGGGAGCCCCGGACGCAGGAGGAGGCAGGACGGATTCTCCCTGGAGCCTTCAGAGGGAGCACAGCCCAGCCAGGACCTGGACTTTAGACTTCTGGCTTCCAGAACTGCGAGAAGGGTAACTTACGTGGCTTTACGCCACCCACCTTGTAACAGTTCATTGTTGGAGCAGCCCCAGGAAACTATTGCAAACACCACAGCCTCACGGGGCCTCTGAGACACTTTGGGGTTGTGCCCCGTCCCCCTGGAATGGCAGCTCTTATTTCCAGAAGACCCTAGAAGTACCAGGCCCCATAGCCCCTCATAGGGCACCGATGTTGGGTCTGCTGTCAGGTATCAAACTATCTGACATCCCACCTGCCACCCACACAGATGGCACCCCCCCCCCGCCCAGTGCTCGGGGGGACCAAGCGTCCGGCCCAGGTGCTGTCCCACGCGGCCCTCACCTGCGTGATGAAGAGGGCCTCCAGGTTGCCCTGGTACTCCGCCAGCAGCAGGGGGACGTAGTCATACACCTGCTCCCGCAGGTCATCGTTGGGCAGGAGGAGGTTCAGCATGGGCTTCAGGGACTTGATGACCCCCAGCTTCACCTGCCACAGGAGCGGGGCCCCGGGACGCCTCAGCCCAGGACCCGCAGCAAGGCCCAAGGACACAAGCTCCGTTCACAGAACCCAGAACACGTGACAGAGGGGATGCTGGAAGCAGGTCAAGTCCTCGCCCAAGGCCCCGCAGGTGGGCAGTGAGGCCGGGCTGTCCCCGCGAGTCCTGGCTGTGTCACTTAGGGGGCCTGGGACAGGTACTTCCCCTCTCTGTGTCTCCCTTTCCTCTTTTGTAAAACAGTCCCGCAGCAGAGTTGGCACATAAATAGCTCCCAGGAGCAAAGCGCCCGGACAGCCCCACATGCCCAGGACGCGGCCCTCATCTGAAAGCCCATGGGGCCACCTGAGGCCCCAGGGCCACTCGCCGCGACCTCCCAGCTCTGCCATCAGTCTGCCCAGGTTGCCATCCCTCGGGGCATCTGGGAATGAGGCCGGACCCAGAGGTGTCTCCGCTCCCCCAGCCCCGCAGGCTGGGGAGCCGTTACCTGATGGGGCAGCAGGCTCCCCCCCACCGCCCCCTAGAAGGGCGCATCTTACCTCTGGGTTGTGGCTCCTCAGCCACACGGTCACGAAGTAGCGATACATCGGGAACAGCTTGACAGCAAACTGCTCCTCGGTCATCATGGGGTACACGCTGTCCTCCAGGTGCTTCAGGTAGAACTGCACCGTCTCGCAGAAGGTCTCCATGGCTAGGGGGAGGGGGAACGCAGACGGGCAGGAAGCGGGAAGGTCCCAGGCCACCTTCTCCAGGAGGAAGGCCGAGGTGGCCCAGAATAGTCCCCTGGGCATCCCCCTCCTCTGCCCTTCCCTCCCCTCGCAGCTCCCTAACTTTTATCAAAAAACACTGTGTGTGAAAGGCTCCCCCAGGGGGCGCTGAGCACACAGGGGTGTCCAGACCCCGGGCATTGAGGCTGGGATTCACATGCCAGGGGTCAAGGGCGGGGCCTGGATACAACTCTTCGCCTACATCCCGGGACTCCAGTGCAGAGGGAAGCAAACCCAGTTTGCCCTGTTACCTATTACTTTTTTCAGGGGTCAGTCAGGGGTTTGGGGACCGTGTCAACATCATGTAGTCCAACCCTGGGGCAAGGAGAGGAGACGTAAACAGCATCCAAGCCCTGCGGTGCCAGGCCCTGGCCTCCACGCCCCGCGAAGCCCATCGGCCTTCTCTAGTCATCTCCCGAGAAGCTTGACAGGGAGCGAGCGAACCTGAGTCACAGGGGCCGCCGCTCCCTCTCAGCCACCTGCCCACCCCGCCCGCCCCAGCGCCAGAGAGCCAGTCAGAGGCCACGCCAAGTAGCAGCCTGAGCAAGTGTTTGGGAACAAATGGACAACCCGCCTCTTGCCCCACTTTGCCCTCCCGCCCCCTGATGGGGCCACACCTGCAGGCCCACCTGGGACACCTACCACTGCAGATCACCTGGCGCATCTTGGCTTCGTTGACAAGTCTCAGCATCGTGAAAATGGTGGCCAGGGTGATGCCCATGTAGGGCATGAACTCGAACACTGGGACGGGGGAGAGGGCGCCAGGAGGGGCGTCAGCAGGGAGAAGGCAGAGGCGGCCACCCGGCTGCCCCCACGCCCAGTTCCCATCCCCCAGCCCCACACAACCCTGCAGGGCCGGGCTAGGGAGCCCCTTTGAGACCCCGAGGCGCCAGGACATAGAGGGAAGTCAGCGTGTGGTGAGGAGCCCGCCAGAGGTGGGTGAAGGGAAAGGGCGGAGAAGGGGGAAGGGGAGAAGGACAGAGGACGCAGGGAGGGAGGCAGACGCCCGGGGGGCAGGAAAGGCCGGACGGACGCGGAGACAGGAGACAGAGGGCCGTCAGAGCACATCTGCCCCTGGAGTGACGGCTGGCTCCTGGGGGTGTCGGAGGCCTTCTTGAGGGAATGAGGACACGGGGACCCAGCAGGTGAGGAAGAGAGGCTGAAAGAAAGAAGACAGGCAGGCAGAAGAAAGCGGGGCAGGGAGAGGAAGGAAACGAGATGCGAAGGGGACAGAGAAAGGGGCTTAGCAAGTGGCCGGCCGGCCCTCCGACCCCGCTCGGAGCCCAGGCCTCCACTGTGCTGGGAGCCCCAGCCCCGTCACCGCACCTTCCCCGGATTTTCCTTCCCCGTTTGGGGCCTTCCCTCCTGTCCATCCGTCCGTCCCTCTGTCCTTGCTCTCTGGCCTCGGCGCGCCGTATGCCAGGGCCTCTCTTGCCCCTGAGCCTCTCACAGTGAGCGGCCCACCCTCCTGGTCTTCCCCCCTCCTGCCCGCCTCTCTGCAGCCCACCCAGGCTCCAGCCCCGCACGTCTGGAAACTTCTGGGCCCAGCGGCCTTCTCCAGCCTCATCTTCCTGGACCTCCAGCAACACGCGACCCAGCCGGCCCCTGGGCCCTTTCTGAATCACTGTCCCCGCCCCAGGCCCCACGACACCACACTGTCCACCCCACTCTTACAAGCCCCACCCCCTTCAAGCCTCCTTAGCTCTTCTCTTTTCTCTCCACTTACCTACCCTCGGGGTGAGTGGCTTTGAACAAGCCAGGGACAAAGGCCAAGCCCAGGCCTGCCTTCCGAACCCGACACCCACACCGCAGCTCCCCCGCCTGGGGACCTCCCCACCTGGACATCCCACAAGGAACGGAAACGCAACGCTCACACATGAGGTCCTTTCCAAGCTCCCCAGTTCTCTCCCCGACCCCCGCCTCCCCTCTCAGGACATGGCCACCCGCACATCCCATGGCTCCAGCCTGAACCCTGGGAGTCCCTCTCTCTTCCTCTGCACCTCCCACACACCACTCAGCTCCATGCCACGGCCAGGCCCCTCCTGTACCTCCTGCGTGGCCATCCCTCACCGAACGCGCTCCGGCCCACGCCATGCCTCCGCGCCTTCCCACGTTTCCTACCCCGAGCCCACCCACTCAGCAGCCACGTTTCCTCAGGCAGCTGCAGCCTAACGTCCCTCCGTAGCTTCCTAGCGTCCTCGGATACAGCGCTGGCTCTTTACGCACCCGGCCTGCCTGACCGAGCGACCCCGCCTTACACCGCCCGCCTCGCGCTCGAAGTCCAGCCACAGCGACCTCTCGGCCCTTCCAAGAGGCCAGGCTTAGTCCGGCCACAGGGCCTTTGCCCACATGTTCTCTCCCATCTCATTCTCCACACAGATAGCGTCCTCTCACCCTTGAGGTCACAGCCGAAATACCGCTGCCTCAATCAGGACCCTACCGAGAGGAGGTCCTCTCCGCAGCCACCAGGCCTCCTCTTCACACCCATCACCTCATACTGTGACACTTATTTTCTTATTTACTTGTTTGCAGTCCTTTGCGAGGACAGGGGCCATGCATGTGTTATTCACTGTTGTGGCCCAGCACCCACCCAGTGCCCGCACGGAGCTCGGACCCTGTTCGGGGCAGGAAAGGAAAGAGCGAGAGAGAAGGGAAGTAGAACGAGGAAGGGAGATGAGAAGACGGAGAAGCGGTGAGCCTCAGAGGGAGGGAGGAGAGAAGTTTGGAGGAGACGGAATAAGAGCAAGAGAGACCAAGACATGAGGCCGAGACACAGAGAGAAAACCTTAGCAGCGGAGAGGTTACCCACGGAGATGAAAAGAAGGGATGCCCCAGAAGGATAAGAAGAGAGAGACGTGGAAGGGGCGGGGCCCGAGACAAGGACAGAAACGGAAAGAGAAGGGACCAGCAGGGAGCCCTGGGCCCGCCCTCAGGGGCAGACACTGTGGCGGGGGCGCACCCTACCGTTGCCGTTGGCCAGCTTCGCCAGGGTGACAATGACAAATTCATCTGCAAGGTCAAGGGGTTTGAGGTGGTGCTGCATCTCATACATGACCAGGCTGAAGTGGTTTCGGGACAGGGCCACCAGGGTGTCACTGGCCACCTCTGCCCTCAGGTATCCCTCCATCTGAGGGGACGGAGAGGGACCTGTGATGCCCCCACCCTCCATATAAACACCCTCCTGGCCCACACCCTCTCCAGCCCCGCTGGGCCCCTGGGTCTCAGGCTATTCTTGCCCCGTGAGGTGACTGGACCAGGGCCTCGCGCCACGCGGCCCGGGCCTCCAGCAGCCCAGCCCCTGGGGTGGGGGGTGGGGGACAGGGCACTGGTAGCGGCCGGAGTCCCACTACCTCCTGGATCTCCCTCATCTCCTTGGAGGCGATGGCCACCAGCCTCTGGACACACTGCTCCTCCAGCTCCCCCTCCTGCTGGATGACCTCCTGGAGGATGTTGTAAACGTTGACTTTCCGCTGGGTGGGGATCTGGGAAACAAGCGTGGTGGGCGGGGAGGTCCCGGGCCAGGCCGCGGGGCCGTGGGGCCACTGTCTTCTCCTTTCACCGGTCTTCCCCCCGACACCCCCACCCCTGGGCGCGGACCCCCACCCCCGCCGTCACACTGCCTGAGCCTCAGACCCCGACTCCTCCGCCTCCATCGCCTCCCCTTCCGTCCTCCTCCCAGGGGTCCCTCCGTCTGGCTCTGTCAGGGTGGCCTGCAAATCTGTCCTCTCTCCCGTTTTCAGCCTGGCAGCCACAGTAAGGCAGGTGTCCCATGGCCTGCAGGCAAGGTCCGCCATGGACTGGGCACGGGCCCGGGCACGCGTCCAAGGAGCTGGGCTTGTCCTGCCCTTCGGCCCAGTGAGGGAGCACTGCAGACCAGGAAATGTTCCTCTGCCCGCATTTAGATTCCCAGATAGCACTTATCACTATCCTAAACAATAAGACTGAACAAAGAGGCTGCACAACCCGGACCACACCCGCAGAGACGTGCTCGAGATCGACTCGCGGGAGGGCCCACCCTGCAAGTGAGCCGCTGCCTGCAAAGCCCTCTGGGAGGAAGGCTTCCTCCCCCAGGTGGTAAGAAGGTCACTTCCCAACAGCCCAGACACCTTAGCAAATTTGGGGACCTCAAGAAGAGAGGCATTCACCCCAATTTGTATGTTCTAGAGAAATCCGGGACAGAGTCTATCGGTCTTGTTTTCCTAGTGTTGGTATTGCGAGTCACGGGGGCTGGTAAAACGCCAACCCAAGACTCCTCGTGGGAGTTCCTGGGCAGAAGAGAATCGTGCGGCCTTTGGAGTCCAGTGAGTCTCAACTATTTCTTTTTTTTTCTTTTTTTCTCCCTCAGGACATTTCTTGGATATTTTTTCCCTCATCATCCCCCATGAAACCTTAATACCACGAATACATTATGTGTCTCTTTATGGGCTGTATACATGTCTGTGCTTTATACATAAAAAGTAAGATTTTCTTAGCATTCCTCCCACCGCTAAGAACCGGTTTTACCTGTTTGGCAACCCCCACCCCCCGTAGCTGAAGGAGGTCTCTATGCTTCATTAGCACTGCAGCTGCAGCCTGAACGGCCACATTGTAGTAAGGTCGGCCTTCTCTGGTATCGAAGTGAATCCTTGGAAAATATCTATGGTCACCAGAAAAACACTGTCCAAGGCTTGGAAAGTGGTGTCAGACAGGCACTGGGTGGCCGCCCAGAGGAGTGCGCGGTGCTGCCGGCCTGCGCACAGGGGCTCAGGGGCTCCGAGGCCTGGGGGGAGCCTGGAGGGACCTGGGGGCCTGTGGGGGCAGGCACCTTTATCCTGGGACTGTCTAGGCAACAGTGTGGCTCGGTGGGGATAGAAGCTAAGTTGTAGAAAACTGAGAGTAACAGCCCTGGCCAGGTAGCTCAGTCAGTTAGAGCGTTGTCCCAATATGCCAAGGTTGAGGGTTCGAACCTCTGTTAGGGCACAGGCAAGACTCAACCAATGAATGCGTGAATAAGTGGAACAATGAATCAGTGTTTCTCTCTCAAATTAAATAAAAAAAATAAGCAAACAAACAAACAAACGAAAAGAAAACATTCCTTCCATAGCAATGAAAACAATTCTTGCCTGTGGCAATGAAATTGATTTTGCCTGGCAAAGAATGTAAATCTCAATAACCAGAATTTTCATTTTAACGGACTTCAACATCTTACCGGTTCCTTCACCAACTAATGAATAACTCAAATCTTTGACCTACATTAATTTAAAAACTATGCCTACTTGTGTGTTTTCTGTTTACTACCACTGATCACTGATTATGGCCTGGGTATTAATCATGTGTTGTTTTTTTTTTAATGTTGTCTATTTCCGGTGCTTTGACATCCTGCGGTCTTGCTGACCCTGTAGAGACTATGGCTCCCAGGGAGCCAGTTCCTACAGAGAGTCAACGCTCACTTTGGGAGTAGATGTTTCAAATGCAAACCCACCCACCCAGAGCCCACCAGAGGGACGCCCTCTCCCACCCGCCCTGATCAGCCCAGGACCGGGCACCAGAAGGCCCTGGGCCGCCGTCTAGCCCAGAGCCCGCTGAACTCACTCACACGCGCCGACCCCGCGCTTCCATCCCCGCCCCGCCCCGCGAGAAGCCACAATAACGACCGTTGGCCAGGGGATGCCATCCCTGCCTCGGCCGCTCGCCCAGCCGGGCCGCTTCCCACGTGGCCGGCGTGGCGCCGCCTCCCCTCGCCTCATGGGGCCTGTGCGAGACGCACCGTCTCTCCGAGGGCAGTCGTCTCCTGCGCTGTCTGCTCACTACCCCTGAACAGTAATACGACCCGCATTTTGAAGTCGCATAGGAAAACCCCCTGCCTGGGCTCCCGGACTCCGGCACCCCTTCTCCGTGGCTGCCACACGCTTTTCTATAAAATAAAACTTTCCATAAGGAACCCCAAAAAAGAACTCCTTTGCTGCCCTCTCCCGAAGGCCACGGGACAGTCTAACACCCAGCGGTTCTCCAAGTGTGGTCTGCAGACCAGTCGCAGCAGCACCTGGGGACTTGCTAGAAATGCTGATTCCTCGGGCCCCGCCCCAGATCCACTGAACCAGAAACACATGGGGTGGGGGCCTGGCAACCCGGGTTTTAACAGGACTGCGTGGCGGTTCTGAGGCTCTGGTCCAAACCCTGCCCTAGGAGGCCTGCTCTGCGAGGCCCACCATGGTCTCCCATTACACTTCCCACCATCCCCTCAGCATCCTCTCCGCCAGCCTCCGGTCCCCCTAAACAGTCTCCCCTGTGTCGGCTGAGTCTTTGCTCCCCCACGTCCACTGGCTTTGTCTTGCTCCAGGACTATGGCTCCCTAACCCACTGCCTCTCAATACAAAGGAATTTAAAAAATTGTCAAAGCCCCAGGCCACTTCTGGGTCCTCAAGGAGCAAGAGCCTCAGAGTCCTGCACCCAGCCCTGCACCCTTGACGGCCAGTGCTGAGCAATGGGTGGACACAGGCAGGCGCCGGGGCGGCCGAGGCCGAGGCGGCCCTACCTGCGGCACCTGCAGGCAGCGGATGAGGGCGCTCATCACCACGCAGGGCTCGCTGGCGGCCTTCTCCGTGATGATCGCCGAGGCCAGCGCCTTCCGCAGGCTGGGACCCGTGCCGGCAGTGTCCGCCGCTGCCGACTCGCTGTCCATGATGTCGAGCAGGTTTGTGACTTGTTGGAAAGTCCCTGAGACAGAGATGGCCCAGGAGGTGCTCCTTGTGCCCGGGCCTCCCCATCAGCTGCCCAGCCTCAACTCTGCCTGTGGGGTGATTGGGCAGGGACCTTCCTGTCCCCGGTACAGGTGGAGAAACTGAGGTCTCGGCTGGGACATGCCCTCAAGGAGTCAGGGGCCAAGATGGGTCAGGAATGCAAGGATGTGGGGGACTCTCTCACCACCGTCGTCTGGTTCCAGAGGGTCCAGCTCCTCTGTTTCCTCAGACGGGTGCTCATTTTGGTCTATTGCTGATTCTGCCATCTCTTCCTCGGGCCCTTTCGACATACACAAGATTTGTAAAATACATGGTGTGTTGACACACTCAAAGATGGCCTCCAGGGAGTCGCACCCTGTATCACTCCCTGCTCTTGAGGGCAAGCAGAACCCGTGACTGGTTTTTAACCCATAAGAATATGGCAAAGATGAGGGGAAGCCCTGCCCATGGTCACGTGATGTATCAGACTCCATCTTAGCAGACTAGACGGAGAAATTCTCCCACCGGCCTCGAAAGGTAACTGCTGTGACGTAGCTGCACGAGGCAGGGAACGGAGAGCCTCGCTCCTACGGCCACAAGGACCTGGATTCTGCCAACAGCCACGACAGATTGGGAGGGGACGGAGCTCCGGAAAGAAGGCAGCCACATGATACCTTGAGTGCAGCCTGTGGGACCCCGAGCAAAGGACCCTGCAAAGTCCTGCCCAGTCTCTGACCCGCAAAAGCTATGAGATAATAAATGTCACTCAGGTTATAGTCATTTGTCACACAGCAATAAATAAATAATTCCCTTGGTTAAGTAGGCCCTCCTCCCTCTTTTCTAGACGCTGAAAAGGAAAGACTATCTAGAAATCCACCTCACCAAGTCTCATAGTCCCTGACAGGGGCTCCCACAACATTAACAGCTTCTTGAGTGTTGACAAACACCAACACAGATGTCAGGATGGAAGACAACGCTCCCAGATCCCGCCTCCTCCTGTTTCCAAGTCCCTCGGTCTCAGACTCCAGCCCAGAGCCCGTTCCCATCCTGGGCTCCTGCCGCCTGCGAATCCTTTACAGAGCTGCTCTGGGACCTAAGTACTGACCTTTTCTCTGAGTTCTCTCCCAGACGGAACAAAAATACAACGCAAGAAGAAGCCCTGTCCTTGGCCTAAAACACATCAGTGGCGACGCGGACAGCGGCAGGGTCGGCTGTCCCAACAGGGGGCAGCCAGGCTCCTCAGCGGGAAGGCAGATGAGGGCGCGCTCTCCTGGCAGGGTGGCGGCTTCCTCAGAACCATCACCGTTAGCTCCCAGCCCTTGGAACTTTGAGCTCCAACTGCCTCCCGGAGTCTCTGTCCACTGAGGGCTCTGAAGAGTGCCCAGTGCCCCCCCAATAAAGCCCCCACATCATGCTGTGGAAACATCCCTGTTAGCCGCGTGTCTGGGGGCGTACGGTGGCCTGGTTGGGAAAGGAAAATGATCGGAAGGGGTTGCTTCGCAGCCGAGGTCCATGGGGATGCTCTCATAGGGCCCCCGGGTGGGGAGGTGCGGTCCGGGCTGCGGGAGGGGAGGAGGGCGACAGGAAAGGTCCGGGAAGAGGACGCCTCCCCGCCGAGGACTGATGACTTGCAGAATGGGGAAGGGGGTTTCTACTGGCAGAACGCTTAGAAGGCAAAGAACCTCAAAGAAGGCAGGGACCTTGTTTTCTTACACCAAAAGTGGGGTGCAAAGGGTCCCCCTGCCGCTTGCAGCTGTGAGAGAGTCCAGATCAGCAGCTGGAGCAGGGCAGTAGCAGCCTTTGGAGGGCTTTCATTCCCTGCATCACAGGGCAGCCGGACAAGGCTCAGAGCCGCCCAAGGCTCGGCTGCTTGGCTACACTGACACTCGGAGCTTGCCTGCCGGGCCGAGAGGGCGCGAGCTCACAGCCTCTGCTTGGACACCTCTGACGCCAGGAAGCCCTTTCCCTCACTAACCCATTTCTGCTTTAGTGACTCTGGAAGGCTAGCAGGCGAGCTCCCCGCGAATCGCGCCAAACCCTTCTACCCCATAAAATGTAAGCATTGTTCCTTGGTCTGCCCTTTGGAGACAAACTGACAAATACGGAACAGACCCCTGAAGACAATGATCACACGCCCCCGCTTCCCCAGCCCCTCTGCCCTCCCTCCTCTCACTCCCCTCAGAGCCTTCGTCTCTCTTCCAAAGGTTAGTCAGGTGACAAGGGGCAAGTTCACAGCAGCTAAATGTGGCTCTCCGTGCTGTGCTGGACCCAGAGGTAGGTAGGGCGCACCTTTGTCCTCTGAGGGTCTAAAGACCCAGCACATGAAATGTCACGGATGTGGAGACAGAAGCGTCTGTATCAGTTAACCATAGCCGTGCAACAAGCCACCTCAGTCTTAATGACGGACAACCACCACTTACTGTTGTTCACAAGTCTGTGGGTGTCAGCCGGGTGGTTGCTGATCTGGCCCACGTCCAGCCAAGCACAGCTGGAGTCACTTGTGCATCTACAGTAGCCACTGGGTTGGGCGAAGGCTGGCTGGTCTAGGATGGCCTCACACACCCGCGCCTGGCACTTGGCTGGCTGTCGGCTGAAGGGACTAGGGTGACTGGGACACCTGTGTCTCACAGCCGCTCAGCGGGGCTCCAAGAGAGCGAGCAGAAACCTGGAGGCCTCCCGGAGCCCGGACTTGGAACTGGCACCCCTCACCTCTGCCACATCCTGTCGGCCAATGCGGGTCACAGGCCGGCCCAGACGCTAGGGCCGGGGAAATAGATCTCCCCTCACAATGAGAAGGGCCGCGAAGTCCCACTGTGAAGGCCACAGCTAGTGGGGGTGGCAGACGAGGGCCGCTCTCCTCTCACACACCAGGCAAGTGAGTAAGCGCAGCAAAAAGTGAGGCGCTGTCCTTCCATCACCTGGAAGGACCCGGAGACGGTGAGGCCGGGGAAAACCGGTGGGCCCTGCGGGGTTTCCTGGGATAAAAATGCTTCTGGTCTTTCAGGTCGTGACAATGACACTTGACTCACAATCCATTCGTAAAATCAGCCACTCCCCTGTGCTATCACTCTACAGAGCTCCGCACCTCCACTTCTATGGGAACTAACTTGAAAATTAAAAAAAAACAAACAACAATCCACTGTACTTGTAGAAACCTGTGAGCTTCAATGTATGAAAAGGCCAAGGCAAAAGTGGGGAAAAGACACGTAGGTCGTAAACACGTTTGGTGGCATCTCCTCAGCTCACAAGGGTCCCTCTTCCCTGATCCTTGGGGTCACAGTTATAGGCTCCTGGTGGCCATGCTCTCCCCTCTGCAATCCCTCTCCCAGCGAGCCCGGCTGGACAAGGAGCGAACACCTGATCCCGCTGGACCAACCAGATTCTTTCTCCCAGGACTGCAGAACTCTGGGTAAGAGGGAACCCCATCAGTGTCCTGTGGGATCTTGGCGCTGAGGGGTCTGGGGACGGGGAGCAGAGAAGGACACGAGGAGAGGGAAGAGCAAAGCTGTCCCTCAGAGCACGCAGGGACAGGAGAGGACATAAGAGGTTCCCTCTGGAGACTTGGCTATGAGACTTGAGTCCTTAGGAAACCTGTCTCATTACAAAAGGACCCCCTTTTTGCTTAAGGTGTCATGAGTTGGGTCCTCTTCCTTGTAAACAAGAGGCCATAAGGGCTAGAAAAAAGAAGGCGCAGAGGAACACGTGGGAGGCCAGAGCAGCTCAAGGTCCCCGAGAGGGACGTGGGTGGCAGGGAGTGTGGGCAGGGAACCCAGGAGACGTCCACTGGCTGGATTGCAAGGGCCTGGAAGGAGGGTGGACATAGTCCAAGAGTCGCCATGGGGCCCACAGCTGCGGGGAAGGAGCTGGTGTGAACAGCTTGGGCTCCAAAAGCAGCTGGGGAAGGAGCGCACGGCACTGGGGTCAGGGGAACTGCTGGCTGTCCACGCGACGCCCAGCTCCCCCGTGAAGCCTCTATGTCTAAAATGTCTCCAGGCAACACAAAGCCACAAACAGAGGTGTGAACAGAATTAAGGGCAAAGAACAAGCAGAGCCAATACACCCCCAGCAAACGACAGAGGACCTTCTCACCAGGGCGGCTCGTACTCTTAGCAAGTGCTCGGGATGATACACCCCATCGGCAGACAGACAAGGGGATGGAAAACAGGTACAAGAGCCTCGTAGCTTGTAAAAACTCAACTCTTCCTAGTAATAATAAAATAAAAGCAAATTTAAAACAAGGTCCCACGTTTCTTCACTCACACTAATGGTTTCTTTGCTCTGTTTTTTGTTTGTTTGTTTGTTTGTTTTGCAAGATATTACTTTATACTCAAAGGGTGTGGGAACCAGGCTTTCTCACGCCAGCTCAGGATGCAGTGTGGGAATAGCTCAAACCGCTTGCAATGACAGGCGGCAGCGCCCCTCTCGGATGTCCTGTGTCCTTTCCCCTGCAGCACGCAAGCCCACCTCCACCAGCGTGCCTGCCTCTCTCTCCCGGGGGCACTCTGACTCCCAGAGGCCCCATGCTGACCGGAAGTGCGGGAAATCAATGCCACTTGGGGCCAGCCAATTACTGACAAGGCGGGTGCTCAGCGACCTGGGGGCCTTGCTTCCTGGTGGGAAAAGTCTGGTGCATTTCCTGCACCGGCACCCACCGTCCACTACGGGGGTTCAGCTCCGTCACCCACAGGAGAGCCAGCTTCTTGGCGGCCATCACCCCCACCCCAGTCCCCACGCCCGGATCTGGGTTGCCTTCAATTCCCAGACAAACCTCTGGCCCTTGAATCCTCACCACAAAGGAACCTAAACTGAGGCAGCCAGCCGTTGGTTTGTTGTAAAGCTCCCTCCCACAGAAATAGTCAGGAATAGGCGCAGGGACTTAGCTTTTTTAATAAAAGAAAATAAAAGTGTATCCACCCAGAAGCTGTGATTAACTACCACCACTGGTACAATCCTGGTAAACCCGTGCAAGAGAATAATCCTTGGTCAATCCTTAAAAACAAATGTTTATACAAAGAACATTCACAGTAGAGTGAAGTGAAGAAAGAACGCTAGGCAACACGAAGTATTTCACACAGCTGCAGTATTTGATGTGCATTTGCCAAAATAGTCTCTGTGATTATTTCTGAGGAACATGACTGCAGGCAGTTTTTATTTTACCGTGTGTGTCTGTGCACAAGTCTGTATTTTTCAAAATTTCTGTCATAATGATGAATTACTTTTGTAATTAGAACATGTAATTTAGCAATGAATAAATGCAACACCAATGAAAAGAAGAACACCTAAGAAATATACCATATAAATTTATTGATGTTTTTAGTTGTGGGAAATGTACACCAGAGAAAAACATACTTTGCACTTTTATCAAATTAAGAAGCATTCGACACAAGCAATGAGGAGCCTCTCAGACATACAGGCCACCATTGTCAACGTCATTCTTTGCCCCCCAAGGAAGAAGTCACCCGCTGTCCTCACAGGACACTGCGTCATTCATTCATGTCAAGTGCAAGGCATCAGGCCTTAAAGGAATACATGTTGACTTCATCACACACACAGAGTGACATCTATGAAGCATGGAAATAAATTAGGACCTGCCGTACTTGCTGAAGGAACTGACCACAACAGTCTGGAGAAGCCAGAGGGTGTCAGCACCGTCACGCGCAGTGGGGGCAGCCCTGGCTCCCCTTCTGAGTGAGAGAGGTCAGGCAGAGTGAAGGGGCCCCGTCCGACCCTCTTGGCAAGTCATATTAAAGGTGGCAGGTGTGGTCCCGATTAAAGGTACCGGAGGGGCAGAGGACATTTTCAAAATATTTCTACCTACAGGCGTGGCTGTCAAGTAAATTATTTTTATTTTTGAGAACCACTCTGGGTGTCTAACTTAAGGCAGCAAAGCCCTTCTTCAATCAGCACAACATGAATGTGGCACAGGCCCTGCAGCTTCCGTCTCCCCATTTCCCACCCACCGCTCAGTGCGCCTTGGATTTCTGAGATTTCTTAACTCGCCGTTTTTTCCCAAAACATTTGCTGTAGCCAAAGGCACAACACTTATAGACAACGAAGACAACTCCCAGCACAATGGCCAAGAGGAAGCCAAACACGTCCAAAGAGTGGTACTGGTACCAGGTGAGGTCGTGGGCCGCGGGGCGCAGGTGCGGGGCTCCCTTGTGCCGCATCACGAATTCCACCCAGAACACAGCCAGGTCCAGTGGTTCGATGGGACGGTCCTTGTGAAGGCTGGACAGGTGCATGATGTTCTCCTTATAGCTGCACACAAAGACAGTTACGTGAATGCTGGGGGCGCCGGTGGCAGAGGGTTCTCCTCCCTTCATGTGTGCGCGCAATGAGGGATGCTGCCAGGTTTTCCCAAGCTCCGTAGGGAATGGGTCTCTATTATAAGTAGCAAAGAACACACACACGCACACACACAATGTTCTTCACCTCCAGGAAGGAAAGGATGGGAGGGAGGGAGGGAGGGAGGATTATAATTTTAAATTACTTGAAACCTGCTTGCTACTTTTCTTCTTTTATCTCTAGCAATATTTTTGTAGGAAATTAAATTATACTTTCTTTATAGTGAGATAAAGAAATAAAGAAAAAGGTCACATTAGAAATTATGAACAACTGTTCATTCGGATTAGTAAACAGTCACATCTAGTCAAAAGTAAAAGCCATTTTTAAGTCCATTTCCAAGACAATCAGTTTTGCATGAGGCTGTGTCTACGCAACCTGTTAAAGCAAATGGATTCCTGTTTATTTGGCACGGTGTGGACCGCTGAATCAGAATATCCAAATCCCAGATGGCTCAGATATCTCAACGCTTGGCATATATGCACTAGGAGAAGAAAGAGAAGGAGGAGGAAGGGGAGGAGGGGTAGCAAAAAGAAAAAGAAAAAAGAGAGGAGAAAGAAAAAAATCACTTCTATTCAGGAGTAGTTGTGATCCTTGCTGCCTTTAAACATGTCCATCGTTTTATTTGGATACATTATTACATTGTAATATTAATATTTGGCTATAAATCCTGTTAAACATCTTCCTTTTATACGTCTTCTCTGAAGCAAAGTTGATTTCTTTGGATTTTCATTAATTCATTCCATATTTATTGGGCACCTGTTATGGTCTGGTTGCCTAATCTGCTGTTTAAATTTTTTCCATTTTCTTTAATTTGTGTGGGTACAGTCCAAACCTAGAGTATTGGGAACATGGAGACTCACAACCAAGTAGAAGTAGCTCAAAAACGAATAGATGACTCTTGTTAATAACTTAAGTAGATGGGTTAGTGGGGTTTTTTTTAGCAATAATGTACTAGAGAACTTCTACCAAGTCACTTGTACGTTTCAGGTAGTTGTCTACACCAGTGAACAAAAGATCAAAATTCCATCACCGACGTGAGCCTCAGGCATGAGCTCCCTTGGTACACGGAGAGAGACGGTGGGTTTTCACTGTGCTGGCGTGTGAGCAGCACGTGTGACGCCCCGCGGCCGGCCTTCCGGAGCGGCCCGCTGCCCCGAAGGGGCGCGCGCACACCGCGCCAGCGGCCCTGGGCAGCTTGTTGCTCAGCGCTCCGGGCACATCACCCGGAGCTCCTGTGGGCCTCTCTTTTTGTCTCCCTGGCACCGCACCCACGCGAGCATCGCCATTTCTCCATTTTCCCTCTTCCAGGCTCAGTGCCCCCCTCCCCACGTGCGTCTGCTCCCACCTGAACATTCCCAGGTGTCACATCCGCCCCCCTGACCGACGTGCCTCGTCTGAAATGAAGCGACTGCAGGTGAAGGCAGCCGAGACGCTTGCAGGCGCGCGCGCACGCACGCACTCACGCGCGCACTCACGCACACGGTGGACAGCGGGATGGAATCCACCCGCGCGCATCGCTTCCCACAGGGTCTGAAGCGGCCTATTCCCCGCGAGCTTGGCAGCTGTACAACAAACGTCACGCAGCGATCACTTGATCGGGCGGCTTTGCCTTTTGCATTGTTTTCAGAGCCATTTGTGAACAAACCTGTCTTTGATTTGTATTATACGCCTTTTATTAGAAGTGCTATCACGTGACTCCCCAGCCTCCACCCCACCCCACCCCCGTTACAAATCTCACGGACAAACTTCCTCACAGGTTTCAGTGCTGTACTTCTAAGCACACTTCCTGCAATGGACTATTTTTCTCTCTTTTCAGGACCTTATAGATCAGGCGTCGATTATGGTGACAATTTTTTAAATTAAGTTTTAAATCTACGAGGGAAAATAATATTAAAATAAAATCATTTCCACGATTCTAGAGGAATCAAGCATTCTTTTATAAAATAAATAATAATCCCAAATCGCCTTCCTTATAATAGATTTTAGCATATTTGTTTGAATATTTACTATGACTACAATGAACAGAACACAAGTCGTATTCCCCTATACCGCCTCTCTTACCTTTTGTCATTGATGACAGTTTTGAGGGCATTTGCTAAATCTTCGGAAGTCATTTCCAGGACGTTCAAGGTCACGCCCGCTCCCCGCGTCTCCATGCGCTTCGCATTGTCCATCTGGTCCCCGAACAGGGGCAGCATCACCATCGGGACCCCGTTGCATATTCCTTCATAGATGCCGTGGGAGCCAGAATGCGTGATAAAGGCACGCGTTTTGGGGTGACCTGGCAGGCAACATGGAAGGGATGCGGTGGTCAAGTCGCTGGGTGTCACATTCTGTCACGCCTACGTTCTGAAAACGCTCTCAGCACTCAGTGCTGGGCATGGGCGGCCCTTGCAGAAGTTTCCAGAAGAAAGGGTGGTGGAGATGCCCCGCCCCTCCCAGGTAAAAAGCAAGGTGGGATATGTCGGCCACAATATGATCCAGCTAGACAATCCTTCAGAACAGCCGTGCCTAAGCCACCTTCTTAACGTGACCTTAGTTGGACCTACACATCGAATCCTCTCCACGTACCAAGCAGATCATTTTGGGGCAACCACTTGACAAGGATTGTATTCTTCGCAAGGTTCGGGGGCCGGGTCCCAGTGTACCGCCACAGGACCTTAGAGATGAGTAGAGAGTTTAAAGAACATAATGTGATTTTTTTTTTTTAAGTCCGATTGTTTAAAAAATCATAATGTGATTTTTTAAATTTTTTTTAAAAATTAGCTAGAAACTGGAGTCTTCTGAATGGACGTAACCTCATTGAAGGCAGGGGGTGGAATGACTGAGAAGGCTCCGGGGCCTGGTAATATTTTGTGAATTTGATAAAAGTGACCAAGCTATACATTTACGATTTTTGCAATTTTCTGCATTTCAAGAGAAAGTCTACTTAATAAAATAAATGAATGTAGAACTATAATTATATACCATTGTCCTAACCAACAGTTTCCTGGGGGAAATATTCCTACCTAATATGAAGAAACAATATCCTATTAATTTTATTTTTAAAATAAGTTCTCCTTAATACACTTTCAAGTCTCAGAGAAGATGAACCATCTGGGCAAAGCGGACCAGGGTTAAGAGTGGAATTGCAAAAAGAAGAACTTGGGCTTAAGAACTGGGAAGTGACAGGGAACCCAAGTCTAAAGTTTAACTAATGGAATTAGTTCAGAGCTGAAAATTCGGGGTTAGGACTCTTGTGAAAATAGGTAAATATAGCGTCTGCTTACTGTCTGAGGTATTTTGCCCAAAGCATCAGCAATTTCCATTGCTCTCTTCTCTGGAATCTCCGAGACCATTGAGCCCAAAGAGAAAACCACAATTCCATGTTCTCCAGAGGCATTAACATAAGCTTCAAATTCCTAGAGCCAGAAGAGAAATTTCCCGTTAATTTTCTCATATTCATTGGGTAGCTGCATACATTAAGCTATGAGTCAGATATCTTTCTCTAAAGAATGTGATTTAGCCCTGGTTGGGTGGCTTGGTAGGCTGGAGCATCATCTTGTGTACCAAAAGGTCGCGAGTTCAATTCCTCATCGGGACACATACCTACGTTGTGGGTTCATTCCCCTTTGGGGCGCACGCGAGAAACAATGTTTCTCTCTTACATTGATGTTTCTCTCTCACATTGATGTTTCTCTCTCACAGCAATGTCTCTCTTCTCTCTCTTTCTAATCAATAGAAACATATCCTCAGGTGAGGATTTTAAGAAAAGAATGTGATATAAGGGATGCATGTGTGTGAGTGTGTGCACGCATGCGTGTGTGATAGACACAAAGTGTGCTTTACAGCACTTCAGCCTGCCTTTCTCCCCATCAGAGGAGAAAGGCTTCTTGCTCACAGGCTCAGGTGATCTAATTAACTCCCCGGCACCTCCAAATGGTTTTATACGTCTCTGAACAATGCCAAGGGCATTAGCGAGATTTTGCAACGTGGCTGGGTTTGCCTAGAACGGAGAGGTTTCCTGGGCATGGGACTTCCTGTGTTAAAACCTGAAGAGTCCTGAACAGATGTTGGTCACCCTGGACGTGAGACATAGGTGACTTCCAACAGGGCTCAGCACACCCGGTTTTCAGACTTTGCCCAGTTTGACCCAGAGCATGACGGGTAAAAACACTGACCAGTGTCCTCGGAGGGGAGCCCTCCGCCTGGTCCGCCCTCCCAGCCGCCCACTTTCTCCCAGGCCTCTGGCTCCTGGCAGCTGGGTCTCGGCCTTTTCCGCCAAGCTCATCTGAGAGGTCCAGGGAGCCAGCCTCATCCTCTCCCCCACCACACCATATTTGGGGTTTGTGACAAGGGCCTCTTGCAGGTGCTTTTTCTGAGGTCCTTCCTCCTAAGATCTACACCACAGCCCTCGTTCCTGGGGAGGGAGAGCTCAGTTCCAAGCAGGCATTACCTTCACACAGGAGTGAAACCACCCTCATGTTTAACCTCATCTAGGAAGGGACGGACCTAAGTCCCCCTCCTGGCAAACCCTCCCATACCCACTCAGCCACCAGCCGGGTGCAATGATGCAAATGGAACCCACAGGCCAGAAACACGCAAAGTTAAACATCAGCACTTGGCTCAAGTTTACATGGCATAGGACTTTATCTAAGGCCCCAAAGGCATTCTGCGCAGGCTGCGTTGTCGTGGGCAGGCGTGTCCTGGACCAGCGCGGGTGGGAGTTGGCAACAGTGTGGTCCACCCCCTCCCTACCTGGCAAAACCTCCCTCGGCCTTCGGGCAACTTCACAGACTCCGGGATGGCCAAAGGGTGGAGCACCGTGTTTATTAACTGAAAGTAACCCTTGATTTCCCACCTCGTATCACCTTCCAGAGAAACGAGGCGCCATCTGAAGTTAATGCACTTGCCCACTCCAAGGAGGCCTTTAAAACAGTTCCTTACTTTCCCCAAGAGTGTAGTAATTTCAGTTCCAGGCCTTTATTACATTGTCCCTTCCTAAATGCCTTCAGTTTTGCAAGAACCCTTATTAAGCACTTAGCATGTTGGAAACACGTCACTTTATCATTGCGCATTCAGAGCCACCCACATGTCCTGCAGGCTTCCCCGGTCCCAGTCTTCCTTCTCCTCACCACCTCCAAGCCTCTGTTCTCTCTGACCTTCTCTTTGGCTACTTTCCCCACACCCAATATATGTGGATGGATTTCACCTCTGAATCTCCACATTCCCGCAGAGATGGACCCTCACGCTGAGGGGACAGTGACATCGTGGAGTTCTCTTCCTTTGCCCTCAGTGCTGTTCCATCTTTTGTCTGTCAGGCCTCACAAAGGCATGTCCAGTGCCAGACTGTGCTTTCTCTATGGACTCTCTTGATTGAATAAAGATTTTTATCCTTATTCTTGAAGTTCAGGACTTTAACCAAGAGCATTGGGAATAAGAAAATATGCAGCAGAGGAATGAAGTACAGAGTATGTTGACCCTGAGAAAGAAGATACCAAGGAGACTCCTGGTGGCTAACAGGGCTCAAATATACAAAGAGCCCAGCCGCTGTTCCTAAACAGGGGCCTCGCAGGCAAACCTTGTTCCAGGAGGAAGCTCGCATGGAGCCGCCTGCCTCCCACACCGAACAGCCTGCCTGTGCGGCGTTCCTGCCGGCTGAGCCAACCGTTGCAAGGAAGCTCCTGGAATCCTACTTCCCTGTCCAACTGAAGCTGCTCGGCTATATTCCCGCCTCCTCCCCAGCAACATCTTCACCAACCGATCGAGAGGCTCCATTCTGACCGATCAGAACAGTGCTCTTTGGATGCTCCAGACTGCAAGGATTTGGGTTCCTCATCTGCGCAGGGATGAGCCTATCAGGGATGGGGCAGGGGTTTGCTCTACACACGTCAGCTGCCCTCAGCTCTGGGAGCGCACTCTCCCTTTCCTGCAAAGGCTGAAAACTGTAGGCTGCATTTCTCCCGAAGACTCCCTACCAGGGCGGGGCGGAGAGGACGAGAGCAGAGCCATCCGGCGGAGAGAGGCCTCCCCGAGGTCCTCCCCGCGGCCCTGCTCTTTCATAATTGCGCCGTGACACTGTCGAGCCGCTCCACAGCCTGGCTCTGTCACACTGAGCTGTTTGCCCTGAATAAAGTTGCTTTCTTCACCACAGCCCGAATTGGGTCCCTGTTGGTGTTGAATTTGAGCCAATGAAAACTAGTTGACAAGTAGCTTTCATTAACTAACAGAGGGGAAAAAAGAAAATAAATAGCAACTTGACAAACTAGCAAAGGTCAGGGAAAGGGAAAATGACAATGTAAAACAACAAGAAGTCAACTGGAAGAATTATAATCAACTCTATCAATTGTTAAATTAAGTGCAAACCGGCAAAATTCACCCATTAAAGGAACTTGTTTGACCAATTTAAAAATATCGGCTCTGTGCTGTTGTTTTTTTTTTTTAAAGAAGAAAACCTGAAGACAAAGGAGAACTAACTAAAGAGGTAAGAGGGAAATGTAAACAAGAATAATGCAGGGATGGTAATAGTAATATTAAAAAAATGGCACTTCAAATTAAAGCATTAAATAGGACAAAGAGAGTTACTATCAGGTATGATTTACAATATAAGACCTTCTCACATCTAAGCTTGCTTGCACCAAACAAGGCAGTTAGTGAATGTGGTTCACCACCTAGACAAATTTACAAGGGAAAAATATATTGATAAATAATAATTACAATGTAATATAAAAATACAATCGATAAATTTCAGCAGCCTCTTCCATTAATCATCCTAAAGTAAAAAAAAAAAAAAATCATTTAAATAAATAAAGATCACTTGCCAAAAAAAAGCAATGGCAAACAGGATACAAAGTGGTGAAATGAAAAACGAATTCCATTAAAATTGAGAACAAAACAGGAATCCTTGCTATTCCCAACTTTATTCAATTATTTTTAGAGATTCTCGTTAATTCAGTAAGACTGAGCATTAGCATGGAATTTAGAACAGAAAAACTTAAATTTCTTTTTTGGCAAATGACTGCATGCTAGTTTTTTTTGTTTGTTTGTTTGTTTGTTTTCTCTAGAAATGTTTCCTGCATGGTTTGTCTCCTCAGTCATTGTCCAAAGGACTCTGAGAAGCTGTAGGAATACATAGGCGCAGACTCGAGGCCCGGCTTTCTCTCCAACGTTGTGGAAAGGGACTGTACATCATTGGGCAGAGCCCTACGCTCCCCTACGCCACCTGGACAGAGCCCGGGGAGAGTGACCTCCCGGGGTATCCACGTTGGTTCATGCTAGCTTTTTTTAATGGTGAAAATCAATTATTTAGGTGCGATGGCTGAATGGTGAGCAGATAACCAGCTAGAAGCAGAAATGGAAAAAATGCCACTTTTGAAGTAGTGACCCCCCCCTCAAAAGTACAAAACACTTCAGAAAGAAATGACTGAGGAAGGAACAGCACAAACATGAAGAAGACTATAAAATATTTGATCGTTGTTCATGGGATGTTTGAAGTAGCAAGAACAACAGAACATCCTGGAATACAAATGTCGGTGTTCCTCCAACAGAGAACCACAGTGGACAGCTAACAGAATAACCCAGGCATATAAAACCACGAGATGCTACGTAGCAGTTAAAAACACAGATGTGACACTTAGAACTGGAGCGATGTCCATGACATATTGATAGCTGAGCAGATTGTGCTCAACGAGCCCCCCAAAATTCCACACGTGTGCGTATGCTGGTGTGGCACTGTGGGGTTACTCCCTGTCCATGACTCGTCCTCAGTTTGGCCCTCCCCTTTTTTTTTTGTTTTCATTCATTCATATAACAAATATTAGATGAGTGCCTATTACACGCCTTAGGTGCTGACACTATGAGATACCAGTCACGTGCACAACCGTTGCCAAGTGTTGCGTTGCCAAGGATGTGGTGCCCGGGCAGGAGGGGCCCCTGCTCCCCCTGCATTAGGAGGAAACAGTCAATAATAATTCTCTGAGTGAAACGATCGCAGGATTTGATGTGTTATAAAGGAAATAGCAGCACGCCGTCCTAGGCAGAAGGACTCCCTGGAGAAGTGATGTAGAAGCTGACCTGAAAAATGAGAAGATGGCCGCCTAACAGACTCAGGGAACAGCACCCCAGGAGGAGGGAATCGCATGTTCAGTGGTCCTAGACGGGGAAATGTATTGGAATGTCCCAGAAATAGGGAGAAGGCCGGAGTAACTGGGACTGTCCATCCAAGTTCCTAGCCAGGCCCTTCTACGTCAAGTGCAATTTCCACTACGCATGCACATCTCCAAAGTGAAGCCTTTTCACTATTAAGGTGAACGTGAGACACAACTGTTTTCTCCTGGATCCTGCGTAATGACACCAAACATGTCCCTCTTCCGTGCCTCTCTAACCTGGACAGACCGACAGCTTTCTTTCCTTTGACCTGAGA